CCTTTAATTATTGAGCACAATTACAACCCCATCTCTTGCTTAAATCTAAAAAGTTTAAAAGAACCTCAACAAAATTCAAAATTCCTTGAAAAAGCACAACTAATTCCAAATTTTCGTTAAAGTCCTCTTGGAAATTACAGTTGAATCTAACTTTGCTGACTAAGGTGCTCTTAGAGACGTAATTTTAGAAAATTAAATAATAGATTATTGTTGCTTTCAATAATTTGAGAGTTGAATTAGTTGATTCACTCAACTAAATCACTGCTGATGAAGCTGAAGCTGTTGCTGATTTCAATGCTTAAGTTATCTAATTAAACTAAGAACATGCTGAATTCTAAAGAGCAGTTGTTGTTAAGAATGCTGAAATCGATGCTAATGCAAGTAATATATAAATTTCTAATCAATTTAGACAAGATTGAATAAACTCTTGACCTCATCGATGAACTTGATGCTGATTTGGCAACCCTTAATGGATAATTGTAAGCTGAAAATGATGATTATGCCTTTGCCACTGATGTCTACAATGCCACCGTTGCAGAATACAACAAGGAAATCAATGCTGCTAACTAAGCATTAGAATTGCTCAACTAACCAAGATTTTAAGATTATGTCAAATCATAACTCAAGGGAGCATGATCTATAAATATAACATCAATCAAAAGTTATCACCATTCTACCAATCTTATAATTTCTCATTTTTTTTAAGTTAATTTAATTAAATTGCTTATAAAATGAGTTAAACTCAACCATCTGTAGATGAGATTCAAACTCTAAAAGAGTAAATTCTTGAACTACAATCATAATTAAATCAGTACTCCTATTTATTATCTTAATCTATTAGAATTAAGAATGATGCAGAAGAAAAGGAAGAATTTTACAACAATGAAATCGAAGAAAAAGACCAAATCATAGAAAAACTCAAGAAAGGTTTCTCAGAATCTGACTCTACAAAGTAATAACTATTTGCAATATCAATTACAAAGATTAATATTTTAATTATAAGATGAATTGAAATAGCTCAAATAAAATTATGAATATCTACAAACAGAGAAAGCAATCAATTAAGGTGAAGTAAAAGAATCTTAAAATTAAGAATAAGATGAGCTAATTTAAACATAAGAGTAATATTTTATAATTATAACAGAAATGAAATTAATACTCTCAAAAATTAAATAGAGAATGAGAAAGAATTAACACTCAAATTACAACAATAAATAAGTACATTATAAATTGATCATGAAAATATGATAAATTAAAAAAAAATAGAATAAGTTTAAGATAACAATGAAGAAATCCAATAATAATTAAAGTATGTCATTCTTAATAGTAAAAAAGCAATTAAATAGAGATATAAAAACAACAAATAAATAATTTATAAGCTGAAAACGAAAAATTGAAAAAAATTTAAACTGAAAATTCTAATTATGAACATCAAATCTTTAAATTAGAATAATAGATCTCCATGTAAGGTATTTAAATCAATTAATTTGAAAAATTAAAGTAATAAATATTAATTTATAATATAATTTTAGATAACAATATGAAGAATTAAAGTAGGAAACTGAAAATTAAGAAGATATGGAAGAAAAAATAAAAGGTTTAGAAAGTTAAAAGAATTAACTTGAAAATTAAATAAATTAATAATTAGATGAAATTAATGAATTAAAAAATTAAATTTAAGAATTAAATTAGAAATCTTCAACTATTGTCACAAACTCATCAGATAATGAAGAGGTTTTAAGAGAAAATGAATAATTAAAGTAAAATATTAATTTATATTATAGGTAATATATAAATGAGATAGTAGAACTTAATACGTAATTGAAGCATGAAAATTTTACAATCTCCGAAGAATATAAGTATTTATAATAGGTTAATTTTCTATAAGAAACCTTAAAGAATCTAATGATTAACTTGTTACTGAATCTGCTAAATTACTTGATGAAAATTAGTAAAAATGATTTATATTTAGACTTGAGATTGAATCATTAATAGAATAATTAAAGGATCAATAATTTATGGAAGATACTATTACTAATTATAAATAAGCTTAGGAAATTTATAAGTAAAAAATTTAAGTATTAGAGAGAGAAAAAAATGAATTGTAAGAAATATTAAATTAAGAAAAGTAAATATGGATATAAATATTATATTAGATAAAAATATGAAAATGCATTTAATTAAGTAAAAGAATTATTGTAAAAAAAAGAATTTGATCAATAAAAGTTAACAAAATGTGAATTAAATGAATAAGATTTGAGAGATTAAATTCAATAATTAACAATTTAATTAGAATAAGTTTAATTTTAAAATTAAAAAACAAGCTTTAATGAGAGTAATACTTAATAGTTACTTAATGAAAACAGTTAATTAAAACAAGAAATACATTAATTACAGTAATTATTATTATAAATCTCAAAAGGATAGCTAGTTAAAGAGAGGCATTTTAGAAGAAAGATGAATTTAGTTAAATAAAAGAATAATTATAGGAATGGGAAAATCTTACTTAACTTGTTTCTGGAAATCTAAATGCAATTAATTCAAAAGATGTTAAAGTTTAATAATTAAGTATTAATAAAAATAAATATTAGTTAACTGTTTCTTGAATTATTAAGAGTCAAATTTGTCACAATAAAATTAAATTGATATTTTGCAAAATGAAGTAAAACAACAGAAATTAGAATTGAATAAATTGAACTCTGAAAAATTAAATCTAGAATAATAATTGGTTTTATAGAAACTTTAAGAAGAATAATTAAAATAAAAAACTGTAAGAAAATCAATCTATCACAATTAAATTTAGAGTAGCGATGATTTAAAGTAAATCAATTTAAAAATTAAGATAATAGTATGAAATCTTGCAGTCAAAATATGATAGTTTGCTTCTGATGAAACAGAGATAAGAACAAAGTGAAAAAAACAAAATATTAGAAAAAGAATAAATAATTTAATTAGAACTTGAGAATTCATCTCTTAAAGAACAAATATAGTAAATTACAACCTAAAAAGAAATAATAAGAAGCAAAAGAGAATCTTTAGCATCAAATATTAAAAATGTTAATGATACTATTATTGTAGATTTAAATAAAAAAATTTAAGAGTAAAATTAAATTATTGAATTATATGAGTTAAAAATTAAGGATCTAGATCAATAATTAAAAGCATAATAATTTATTCAAATGGATTAATAGGAAGATTGTGAATAGTTAGAAACAATAGAAGAAGAGAACCAAATACCTTTAATTAGATAATTTGATGAATCTGAATATACAGAATAAATATAATTAAAAGAATAAAATGAATTACTTTGGAAATAGATTAATGAATTAAAATAAAAATTAAGTATAATTTTTTAATTAATTACTTAGATAATGATGAATTGAAATAATTAGCTGCCTAAAATGCATTGTTAAAATAGGAATTATAATAATACAAATAAAATAATTAATAAATATCTAATATTGAAGGCCATTTTTAATAATATAGTCCATTGAATATACTTAAAGTGCAATCATTTTTAAAATAAAAGGACAATAAAAAACCCAAAGAAAAATTAAAAAAATAATAATTAATTTTAGAGAATGAAAGTAATCCTATTACCAAAAAAAGAGAAATTATAATGTAAAAATTAATTTTGGAATAAAATTAAAAGATTAATAAAATATCAGATAATTATGAACAATTAATGATATTATTAAAAAATATCATTTTAGACATTAAACAAAAGTAAAACCAATTAAAAGTTGAAGAATTAACAAAAAAATCATAAGTCTTATAATATTTAAGCAAATTAAGACAATCTACTGAAATTATACTTAACAAATTAGTATTAGTTTAAAATAAAAACGAAATCTATAAGTAATAATACTAATAGTAGCAATAATAAATTTAAGATACTGAAGAACTTATTTGATTATTTTTCATTTATTTAACATCATTATATTAAATCTCATTCTATTTCTTATTTTATTTAATCTTATTTATAACAATATAAATCAGTATTTATATATCCAAAAAATCATTTATACTTTTGTACTCTTCTGTAGATATTCAAAATTTGATATTTATATATAAAAAGTATTTTATTTCTATTTAATTAATGAGATTAAATTGATTTTATTTTAAATAATTTAGGTTTTAAAAATATCATTATTTATTAGATATTATGAATAGATTAAATGATTATTGATATAAATTATATCATATAAAATATATGTTCATACTTACAGAAATAAAGTTAGATTTCATTTAAATAAAATTTAGAAGTTTAAATTTCTTCATAATTTTTCTATAATAATTTAGAGGATGTTCTAGAAATATGGGGGGGGGGATGAAAAATTATAAAATTTAATTAATTTTTTATTTAACGAATTATTATATGTCAATGCAAATTCCAAAGGACATAGTCAGGCTTCAATTTGATTATTAAAGTTTAATAAGTAGATATTAAGGATTAGAATAATTATGCAAAAAGTAAGCAAATGAATTAGTCCAATTAAAAAAGCTAAATGAAAATATCAAAAGTAATGCTGAAAATTAAGAATGTGGAAAATGTAAAAAATTGTAGCTACAAATTGATCAATAAAAAATAGATATCAAAGAATAAAAGTTAGAAATTGATTAATTATAAAATTCTTTGAATTTAAAGAAAATATCATTTGATGAATTTCGAGAATAAGTATAAAATGAAATGGAGAATAGGATTAAGTAATTTGAAAATTTAAATTAAGTAACACTTGAACGTTTAGATAGAGTTTAAAAAGATAATTCACTTTTTGAAATTTTATTAAGAGAAAGAGATTTAAGGATAGAATAATTAAACTAAGTTATATATAATTAAGAACAACAAATATAATAAGAAAGTCAAGAGGATAATACTTGGAAAAAGAAATTTATTAAAATAAATAAAGATTATCATAAACTTTTATCAGAATATAATTCTGTAAAAGCTGATTTAGATGCAATGTACGTAAGTTAATGTAAATGAGTTTATATTATATTCATGGGAATACTATACTAAATTAATTTTATTCAAAAACTAGCAAACAAACTATTGTTTAATATTGACTCTTTAGAACGCTAAAATTATTTAAAATTCTCTGATTATTTTAGCAAAGATGCTTCATATCAAGAAAATAAATAAATTTATCATCTTCTTTAACAACTTTGTCAATAATTATTTCTGAATTATTTAAATGTATTACCAATTTATTCTGTCTAAAATACAATGTCAGAAAAGTATGTAAATTTAGCATCTGGATGATCAGATGTTATTTATACAAGTTAGTTTAAAGGTTGTTTCTGTATTTATCCAAATCCCATAAATATTTTAATAAAAATATTAAATTATAAATGAATTAATTTCATTAAATAATTGCTCTGGTGAGTGGGGCTGGTGCCTCGTCAGGGCTTCAAACCCTGAAGGTGCCGAGAGGCACAGCTGTTCGATTCGGCCTCTGGAGCGAATAATTTTTTTGAATTTAATATAATACTAAAAATACTCATTTACACACAAAAACAGGTATACCACAATAAATAGTTATTTTACAGGTCTTACATTCAATTTGATTATGCTCATCGAAACACTATTTGCAACATTATAAATGATAGCAAGGTATAAAAATGAAGCTTGCAGGTCTACTTTTGCAATGAATACATCTTGTACCTTAATCACAATATGCAACACTAAATTTTTATTTTATTTAATCTAATCCAGGATATTCTTTTTTTAGCATATATGGTTCAAGTTAATTTATAATATACTTTCCAATTTAATAGATAGTAAAAAAACCAAAGACAGCCATAGATATTTTTGTTAAATTGATTTTAGTTTAAAGTATTCTAATTTTTGAAATAATATTTGCTTCCAGAAAATATTTTAATCTGACAAAATCATTTGCAATAGCTTTTATATTTGTTACTCTAATTTCATCGTTATGAATTATCGCTGTACATTTCATACATAATTAATTACCCTTACTGACTGAAAAAGGATTAGGATATTGCCAAGATATTTAATTTCCATCAAATAATGTATTTGTTCCTAAAATTTTTTGACTTATATATTCAAATATTAATAGTTTTTGTTTGGGATATTTTCTCAACTCAGAGATTAACCCTGAATAGATTTAGTTTTCATTAAAATCTTTTAAAAAAGCAGATGAGATCATATCTGATTTTCTAATAAAGTCAATATGAATATTATCAGAAACGAAAAATGTTAATTTCGGAGTAAGTGTTTAAGATAAATCTGTTCTTTGTACTTTTTTTCTGATAATTTAATCTAAATTATTCGAATTTACACTAAAATTTAGATCTCCTATTTGCATATTCTAATCCATTTATAAATAAAGAAAAACATTTTTAAATACTGCCATTTTCCCATACTATTTATATTATGGTAATAAATAAGTAAAATTATCATATTTTCCATCTCTCCATGATTCATCTAATAGAATCAGAAGATTTTTATTTAAAGGAGATTATAACTTGATTTTATCCTAAAATGCAGTAATTTTTTTTTATTTTCTTTTTAATTTAAGATAACAACAAAAACTCAAAAAAAGTCCTGTTGCACATAGTAAAATGCCAAATTTTGAACTCTTTTTAGTAGTTAAAACAATATTAATTGCTGATATTATAGGATTTCTCACAACAAAATCCAAATCTGCATTTCTTCTCATATAAAATATTAATTAAAAAAAATAATATAGTTAAACAACTAACTTTCAATCTACATATAAAAAAATCAATTCAATTATAAATTATTCGATTCTATATTCTCAATTTAATCTATTTAAATATAGATTTTATAAAAAACGAACCTTCTCTTCTATTATTGAAAATTGATGCAAAATTCTTTAAAATTAAAGATTAATATTACAAATATTATTTAGAGTTAATGATATTAATTTATTAAGTTTTGATAAGAGATATGAAATATTAATTTTACATATTATAATACTTTATTTACAATATTATTTTCAATTTCTTATCAATTAAAAATTGATAAAATTATCAATTTTAGAATTCTAACAAACCTTTCATTAGATTATGAATGGCATTTAAAGCTTATACGATTTGATCTAATCTATAATTATCATAATATTCTATCTGAATATCAAAAAAGAACTAGGTTAATGCATTTTTGTAATAAATACAAAATTTTATTCTAACATTTAGTAAAAACCTTTTGTTACATTCTGAAAAAAAACAAAGTTTTTATTGCATTAAATAGTTTGGATGTACAATAATTATGTCCATAATATATTAATGAGAATGATGGTTTTAATTTTTAAATAAAAAAATAACAAAGATTTTAATTAATGAAGGGATAGGCTGAATAATAGAAAGGAGTAACTAAGACAGTCAAAAAAGTTAAAACAACAAACAAAAGAGCTCCAGTTAGGTAGAATTTAGCATTTAAATTAGATTATGGGTTAAGGCTGTATTTACAGGTTTTAGAAGATCAAAAGTTTAATAGAATGAAAATTAAGCTTTACTTAAAATTGAACATGTCAATGATGTTGCTTCAAGCAGATTCTATTGGGGAAAAAGAGTTGCATATATTTACAAAGCCCATTCATTAAAGAAAAACACTAAATTTAGAGTATGAATTAATTTCATTCAGGCAATTTGGGGACGAATTAGCAAATCTCATGGAAGTAATGGAGTTGTTACTGCTCGTTTTGGTAGAAATCTACCTCCAAGAGCTATTGGATCAACCCTCAGAGTATTCCTTTATCCAAACAGAGCTTGAAATGACATATACAATATACAATAAATACATTAATCAATTTTTAATTTGATTTAAATCTAATAGATACATACTTCTAAGCTTTAATAAATTTTTCTCATCATTTTATCAAATTAATGAATTCTTTTTTTAGAAATTATAATGAATAAATAATGAAAATTAAGATAAAAAATTTACTATTAAATAAACATTACAGGCTCTTCTGCAACAGAGAAAATAAATTATGTTCCAAAGATTTACAGAAATTAATTTGATATAGAGCCATAACCAAAAATTGGAATACAAATAGAAGTTATATATTTATTATTTGAATCCCATCTATTTCTATTATAATAATAAGACACTAAAAGTTTAGATAAATTTTAAGTATAACATCAAAAGTAATTTTATATATGCGACTGAATTTTTCTTGCTTTCTGATACTGCTTAGGAAAAAATTCATGAATAATATTTTTAACTGAAGAAGAATATGCAATTTTAGTTGATGCAATATAATCTAAAGTTTTAGTTTTAAGTTATGAAAATTATGAATAGTATGAATTTAAAGATGCAGTATATTTTACAAGAGCATTTTATAATACAAAAAGTGAAGAATTCTTACCAGAAATAAGTAAATGGCCAAAGGTTTGTTATTGTAAAAAACCATAAAATCCTGATTTACCATATGTATTTTGTGATATGTGTAATTAATGGATACATCTTAAATGTGAAGGATTAACAGAAGAATAAGTTTAAAATATAGAATCATTTATATGCACATATTGTAAAGGAAAATGAAATTTAATTATATTAATATATAATTATTTTAATCAATATTAATATAAATTTAATTGATTTGCAAAATTCGTTTATTTATTAATAATAGATCTTCTTTCTTTAACAAATTCAAAGGCTTTATCATAATTCCATTTATTTTTTTTCATTAAATAAGCACATACAATTGCTGGAGATCTATTAATTCCAGCTGCACAATGAACAAATACATTTTATGCTTAATCAATAAAATTAAATGTTTCATCAAGATATTCAATAATAGATTGATTTAATGAATCTTATATCATAATTTAATGATATTTAAAATCTTAAGGGAATTTCTATTTAAGAAAATCTCCACATATAAGAATATCAGTTATTTTATATTTTTATAATAACTTTTTATTTTTTGCAGCAATATAATTCCCTAAATATAATTTATTTGGTACTATTTCACTAATTGATGAAGATTCATCTTATTTTATTTAATCCTAATATAATTATATCATTTTACTGATTAATGTATTTTATCAATTTCATTTTCAAAATGTTCTAAACTTGATGCTTAATAATTTAAGCATGATTAACAAACAGGAAGATCTGTATTTTTTATATTAGATGCTTAAAAACATAAAATGCATAAAGAAGATTAACATCTAGGTAAATGATAAGCCTCATCTCTTTTTTTACATTCCTCTGTACAATAACTAAGTTTTTTGCAATCGCATGGAAATTGAAGAACTTTGAAATTAGAACAACCTTCACATTTTCCTTCCATAATGAAATTGGGATGTTTAATTACCCAATTTTTTGATAATTCCTTAAAATCTCCAAGTATAATTTAACCTGATGCTATTTAACAATCTTCAATAGTTTCATATTTATTTGGATCCAAATATTCAGCATCCTTAAATTCAAATACTACATCATCATTAGTTCCAAGTGATTTAATTTCTTCAGTAATATATTTTTCAATTTCTGCCATAGTCATCCCTAAAGGACATTTATAAAGTCTAATTACATCATGCCTATGGAAGTTATAGGTAGTACTATAATTGATTTTATAATAATTATGTACACTGTTTTCAAAGTCCTTTCTAATAATTCAATAAATGAAGATAATTTGTATGTTCTAGATACATATTAGTCTCCTTATATATGTTTAGCAGATTTTTCTTGATTGAATTTACGAAGTGAAGAAGGAAACACTATTACTAAATTTAAAGGTACAAGATTGACATTAACTTGTTTCATTCCATTTATTATAGTGGCATCTCGTTCAATAGTTGTTACATGAAACCTATATAATAAAAAATATTATAACTTTCTTGCTATGATTTCCCAAGTTGCTTAATCTAAAATTTCATAATCAACTCCTTCTTAAAGATTTGGAAGCATTATCTTATTCCATTTATGAGTTTAAATTGGATCATATTTAAAGATGGTTTATGGTTTAGACAATAATAGATCTGAATTTACACAAGTAGAATTGTTTAATTTTTGACCTTTCTCTTCACTCTCTATCCACTCTTCTAACCATCTATTCATTTAAATTAAAAATGCTTTACTTCTTTGAAATGATATAATAATTCATGTCTTGACTGGTATGGAATTCATCTATCCCTCGCTTTCTTGATTCTTTAAATTTTGCAAAATCGTTCATTAAATTAATTAAAATTCAATCTTTACATATAAATTATTCCTAATCTATAATACTTTATTACTATTACCAATCAATATTTAATAATATTCTCATAATGTAATTCTATAATTCATAATGAATTGAAGAATATTTAATATATATATTGATCAAAATTTAAATGTAAACTACTATTCTATATTTAAATTTATTAAATATTATTCAATATAACTATATATAATAATCATTTAATGAATATATTATAATTAAGAATATGTTGCATTCATATTTATATTTTCTAATATTTATACATAATAACCTCAATATTGATGATTTATTAAAATTAGAATAAGATTACAATTAATTATATTATAACAATTTATTTAAAAATAAAATCATTCAACAAATCTAAATGAGAACTTTAAAATTTTAAAATATTGTTTGAAACATTAAATCTTCAAAATATGAATCACTCTTTTTTATACTGGCTTTTATTTAATGCCATATATAAATTTTATGAGATCACAAAAATTTAAAGGATTTTATTGTCATATGTTTATGATTGTATTAATACGTCTATGAATTAAAATAAGTAAAATGTCAGGACAAAATAATCTGTTGAAATTAAATAAATTAAACTTTAAATAAAAAAAAATTAATTTTGTTTTGAAATAAAGAAACCTTTAAAAGAATTAATCCATTCTCTATTTAAATTATTATCAAAAAAAGGAGAATGTGACTTAATAAAAGTAACATCATTTTTATTGTAGTTTGTCTCATCAATACAATTCTTTTGTAATATTTTAATGCAGTAACTTAATAGAAAAAGAATGAATTAATGAAAGGGATAGTCGTTGTTTAAAGTTTACTTTTACATATGGATCAAATATTAAAAAGAAATTTAAGCAAATCTCTCGTCATTAAAGTAAATAATCCTCAATAAGATCTGATTAACAAAAAACTTTGAACTCTTTGTTGTATCTGGGTGTGTATAATTAAGGGATGAAAATTAGAAAAAAAATTATAAATCAAATTCTTTCAATCATAAAAATAAAAAATAGTTAACATATTTAAACTTTGATTTTGTTAATTTTCGATTGTTATAATTCAATTTATTATTTTTCTTTAAATTAATATCTTAGCAATTAAGATTTTCATAATCCACTTTTCCTTATTAAGTAAAGGCATTCCAGAGAGATGATTAAGAGTGATATAATATTCAAGTAAAATATTAATTCATGGTTATTTCCATGATAAAGCCATAACTAATTTTTTAAAAGAATTATTTAATCTATTTTATGGATAAAATTTAATTAAATATTTTATATAATAAAAATTGATAATATTTAGGGAAAATTTATAGTTCATAAGGAATGCATTTAATAGAAATATGCTTTTAATTTAAGGAATAGATAGATTAAATATTTAGAAATAAGTATAATNTAATAATCATTTAATGAATATATTATAATTAAGAATATATTTCATTCATATTTATATTTTCTAATATTTATACATAATAACCTCAATATTGATGATTTATTAAAATTAGAATAAGATTATAATTAATTATATTATAACAATTTATTTAAAAATAAAATCATTCAACAAATCTAAATGAGAACTTTAAAATTTTAAAATATTGTTTGAAACATTAAATCTTCAAAATATGAATCACTCTTTTTTATACTGGCTTTTATTTAATGCCATATATAAATTTTATGAGATCACAAAAATTTAAAGGATTTTATTGTCATATGTTTATGATTGTATTAATACGTCTATGAATTAAAATAAGTAAAATGTCAGGACAAAATAATCTGTTGAAATTAAATAAATTAAACTTTAAATAAAAAAAAATTAATTTTGTTTTGAAATAAAGAAACCTTTAAAAGAATTAATCCATTCTCTATTTAAATTATTATCAAAAAAAGGAGAATGTGACTTAATAAAAGTAACATCATTTTTATTGTAGTTTGTCTCATCAATACAATTCTTTTGTAATATTTTAATGCAGTAACTTAATAGAAAAAGAATGAATTAATGAAAGGGATAGTCGTTGTTTAAAGTTTACTTTTACATATGGATCAAATATTAAAAAGAAATTTAAGCAAATCTCTCGTCATTAAAGTAAATAATCCTCAATAAGATCTGATTAACAAAAAACTTTGAACTCTTTGTTGTATCTGGGTGTGTATAATTAAGGGATGAAAATTAGAAAAAAAATTATAAATCAAATTCTTTCAATCATAAAAATAAAAAATAGTTAACATATTTAAACTTTGATTTTGTTAATTTTCGATTGTTATAATTCAATTTATTATTTTTCTTTAAATTAATATCTTAGCAATTAAGATTTTCATAATCCACTTTTCCTTATTAAGTAAAGGCATTCCAGAGAGATGATTAAGAGTGATATAATATTCAAGTAAAATATTAATTCATGGTTATTTCCATGATAAAGCCATAACTAATTTTTTAAAAGAATTATTTAATCTATTTTATGGATAAAATTTAATTAAATATTTTATATAATAAAAATTGATAATATTTAGGGAAAATTTATAGTTCATAAGGAATGCATTTAATAGAAATATGCTTTTAATTTAAGGAATAGATAGATTAAATATTTAGAAATAAGTATAATTTTGATATTGGAAAATAAATATGATTTTAATAAAATAAATATTGAAATCTTCAAAATAAAACGAATTCATAATGATAAAGTTAAATTAATAAATGAATACTTGAAAATTATCTTATTTAGCTATTTTGAATATAAAATAACATAATCAAAAAAAGTATAAATATTATAAACTTTAAATAGATGAAAAGATCGAAATAGTAGCGTGCAAATTAAATGAGGTATATGCTGCAAATTAGATGGAGCGATGAAATAAAAACTTTAATAAACATTATGTATGTAAAAGATGAAAAAAATTAAATAAAAATATTGTGGTGATTCATTAAAAATTTGAGATTCATTAATCTATAATTGGTTTAAAAATTGAAATAATTGTTATTTCATACGTAATAATTAAATATGAATTAAACAAATATAGATTCCATAGACAATAATTAGAACTGTTAATGCACAGATAAATAATGTGTTGAATAATGTTAATGTAAGACAGGAGGATAATGTACTTGCACAAACTGTAAGTGTAGTAATTGTTAATGTACAGATAAATAATGTGTTGAATAATGTTAATGTAAAACAGGAGGATAATGCAAATGCACAAACTGTAAGTGTAGTAATTGTTAATGTACAGATAAATAATGTGTTGAATAATGTTAATGTAAAACAGGAGGATAATGCAAATGCACAAACTGTAAGTGTAGTAATTGTTAATGTACAGATAAATAATGTGTTGAATAATGTTAATGTAAAACAGGAGGATAATGCAAATGCACAAACTGTAAGTGTAGTAATTGTTAATGTACAGATAAATAATGTGTTGAATAATGTTAATGTAAAACAGGAGGATAATGCAAATGCACAAACTGTAAGTGTAGTAATTGTTAATGTACAGATAAATAATGTGTTGAATAATGTTAATGTAAAACAGGAGGATAATGCAAATGCACAAACTGTAAGTGTAGTAATTGTTAATGTACAGATAAATAATGTGTTGAATAATGTTAATGTAAAACAGGAGGATAATGCAAATGCACAAACTGTAAGTGTAGTAATTGTTAATGTACAGATAAATAATGTGTTGAATAATGTTAATGTAAAACAGGAGGATAATGCAAATGCACAAACTGTAAGTGTAGTAATTGTTAATGTACAGATAAATAATGTGTTGAATAATGTTAATGTAAAACAGGAGGATAATGCAAATGCACAAACTGTAAGTGTAGTAATTGTTAATGTACAGATAAATAATGTGTTGAATAATGTTAATGTAAAACAGGAGGATAATGCAAATGCACAAACTGTAAGTGTAGTAATTGTTAATGTACAGATAAATAATGTGTTGAATAATGTTAATGTAAAACAGGAGGATAATGCAAATGCACAAACTGTAAGTGTAGTAATTGTTAATGTACAGATAAATAATGTGTTGAATAATGTTAATGTAAAACAGGAGGATAATGCAAATGCACAAACTGTAAGTGTAGTAATTGTTAATGTACAGATAAATAATGTGTTGAATAATGTTAATGTAAAACAGGAGGATAATGCAAATGCACAAACTGTAAGTGTAGTAATTGTTAATGTACAGATAAATAATGTGTTGAATAATGTTAATGTAAAACAGGAGGATAATGCAAATGCACAAACTGTAAGTGTAGTAATTGTTAATGTACAGATAAATAATGTGTTGAATAATGTTAATGTAAAACAGGAGGATAATGCAAATGCACAAACTGTAAGTGTAGTAATTGTTAATGTACAGATAAATAATGTGTTGAATAATGTTAATGTAAAACAGGAGGATAATGCAAATGCACAAACTGTAAGTGTAGTAATTGTTAATGTACAGATAAATAATGTGTTGAATAATGTTAATGTAAAACAGGAGGATAATGCAAATGCACAAACTGTAAGTGTAGTAATTGTTAATGTACAGATAAATAATGTGTTGAATAATGTTAATGTAAAACAGGAGGATAATGCAAATGCACAAACTGTAAGTGTAGTAATTGTTAATGTACAGATAAATAATGTGTTGAATAATGTTAATGTAAAACAGGAGGATAATGCAAATGCACAAACTGTAAGTGTAGTAATTGTTAATGTACAGATAAATAATGTGTTGAATAATGTTAATGTAAAACAGGAGGATAATGCAAATGCACAAACTGTAAGTGTAGTAATTGTTAATGTACAGATAAATAATGTGTTGAATAATGTTAATGTAAAACAGGAGGATAATGCAAATGCACAAACTGTAAGTGTAGTAATTGTTAATGTACAGATAAATAATGTGTTGAATAATGTTAATGTAAAACAGGAGGGTAATGCAAATGCACAAACTGTAAGTGTAGTAATTGTTAATGTACAGATAAATAATGTGTTGAATAATGTTAATGTAAAACAGGAGGATAATGCAAATGCACAAACTGTAAGTGCTAATTGAAACAAAAAATTGAAGAAAAATGAATTCATAAAATTATATTATAAATAAAATATACCATCATTTTATTTTTAAAAATTAACTCTAAATATAAATATATATAAAAAATTCTTTAAACCCTTATTTTTATATTTTTTAAATATGGATTAATATTTTTATAATTGTAATAGTTTATTTAACAATATTGTAGATTTATCATAAAATTTCATCAAACTTGAGGAAATAATATTTATTTGCCAACTGAGTTAGGGGAATTTATATTTAAATTATCTCTAAGAACTGTTATTTATTCCGTATTGCTTTCACTTTTATTAGGAGTTTCTGTGCATCTATCAGCTGATATTGAGTCGTTTTATTAATCTTCTATTTCAACATTAATTTCCTCCTATTTTTATTTTTTTTCATTTTTTATTTAATTCCCTGATTTAATCAATATTTAATGTTCTTCCAATTTTGGAGTCTCAGCAGGACTTAGTAATTTTTCTCTTTAAGTATCTGAGCTTGTGGGCAAATCATAGAAAACTTACTTTGTTCCCATTACATCAATATATTCAAATTTATCAAAATGAGCATATTTAAATAACCATTCATGTACAGGTCTAACATCTTGAAACTTCAATTAAATTAAATTTTATACTTGAGACAGAAGTTTTAAAAAAGGAATCATTAGTGGTAATTCCTAATCTGTTTTATCTTCAAAATAGTTTAGGATATGAACAGCATTCATTGGTTAAAACATAAAAGAGTTTACTGAGTTCTAAATATTCGAAAATTTATAATACATCAATTAAAATAACTGAATCTAAGTTTCTTTTTAATAACGAAAGATCTTTAACGAGAATGTCTTTGTAAATAGTGCAATTTTCTCTAAACAATCTTAAATCAACTAAGCCTTGAGGATCCAAAAAATCAATAACAGAATTCGCATATTCACTAATACTAGCAGTGAAAACAATCAGCTCAAAATATTTAGAGGTTTCTTTAATGAAATCATGGGCACCTGGTCTAATGTTAACATAAATTTTATATTTTTAATCGTTCATAGAAACCTTTTTATTTTTAAACTTACTTCAACGATTAAATCATTAATTTTCATAGGTTCGAAAGAACTGTGGACTAGTGTTTCATCCAAATCAATTACCAGAGTTTTTCTCCCCTTATCTAATAAAAAAATTACTTTAGATCTTTCAGTTTATGGTGGTATTTCAATAGGATTCTTAATCTACTCATAACATTATGATTTAGTTTTTTGAAACTTGAGACACTTGCAAAGCAATTGAATTAAAGAACTAGTTTATTATCTCATTTTTAATTAAATATTTTGAAATATGTTTATCATGTTTCAGATAAAATATATATGCCTTTACATTAAAAATTTTATAAAAACAAGATACCCATTTTTCAAAAGAAATAATTATAAAAATTTGTGCAATTTAATTTACAAGAAGGTTTCATATTCATGAAAGAAGGGAATTAAAATTCTTATATACTCTAATCCTCTTATTCTAACTCAGTAACCTTCGCTCATCATTTCAATAAAATATTACGCTTATGTGTTAATGATCATATAAATCAAATCTGGTGAGCATTTGAATTTCAGAGCAAAAAGATTTTAAATTTCCTCTGATAAAATAGATTCGTCCTAAAATCTGCTGATCTTTAATCATTGCCTAAGTTCATTAGTGCAATGAAAAAATTCTATTAATTTATAGCAAATAATTTTATAGCAATTTTATTGGTTTAGTTTTTAATTAAAGTTATTATATGCTAAGAATTATGGGTTTTTTTTCATTTATTTAAATCATCTTTTATATATATAAACTTGAGTTTTAATTGAAAAATGGAAGAAATAAATAAGGATAAGATTTTAATTGTTCTAAAAATAATAATATCTAACAACCATTTTTGAAAATTGGTTAGATTGCATTAAATAGGAGCCTAATAAAGGAGATATAGATACATCATTTTTAAAAAGAGCTCGAATATCTAATAAATCAACAATCTTTTGCATTTATTAATAATAATCACCTTTTTATACTCCAAATAAAAAATTATCAGCCTTCTCAAACCCAGATTTTGAAGTTCGAAATGAAAAAATGAATTTTTAAAAATAAAAAAATTCTATTAATTTACAAAAAGTTACAGGAAATGATGATCCCACTGAATTGAAGAATTTATAAGATAAAAATAATCTCCTAAAGAATAATATCATTGTGATATGAAATTACAATTTTTTGCATAATTTTTCAAAAAAAAATTTGAATATCAACATGAATATGTATTTCTTCCTTTTTTTATGTATTTATTTTACCTTTGCTGATGTTGCTTCTTTGGATTAAAAAATTATAATCCTTTACTGAAATAGAATTTTAAGAAAAAGCTACAAATTTTCATAAAATTTAAGTCCCATTATTTGGAAGTTAGTTTTATTTTCCATCAAGAATTAAAATCATCCTTTTATAAAAAGAAAATATATTTAAGAACATATTAGAATTATAAAATTTGAATTTTCATAATCTTTTTAGATCTGTTGTTAAAATGCTTACCATCCTTTCCTAAATTTTAGAAAATTAATATTAATATATATAAATATTAATAACAAATAATTTATTATTAATAGAGCCTAAATGTCATTAAGCAATAACACACATATTAAAATATAAGTTGATTCATATACATCGGAAAAGTCTGTCATAAGATATGTAATTGCTGTTGAATGCAGCAATAATAAATGGCAAATATATAAAAGGTATGATAAATACTCTCAACAATAGATACTCAGAATTTGAAGAAATCCATTTTAAATTAGTTGAATTATTTAATGATTTACCTTAATTTCCAAAAAAATAAATATTTCATCTTAATAGAAGTGAAGTTTAATTTAGGATGTAATAATTAAATGATTACTTAAATTAATTGTTAAATAGAAAAGAAATCATGAACTCAGTTATTTTTAGAGACTTTTTAATAGTAATCTATTTTTTCTAAAAAGCTTGATCAATATGATGAATTCTTACATCCTGTTTAAACATAAATCAGGATATTCAATATGTGTATAAAGGATATTTATGAGAATGATCATATTACAATATTATTACTCTATGACTCTAGTATTTTGACTAGAATGGACACTTACATGAATAATATTTTAGATTCAAAAAAACAATCTCCAACAAGCACCTTGGTTTGTTTTAAATAAAATGATTTTAAGCAAAAACTATTTTGTAAAGAATTCTTCAATGCCCTAACTTGTATGAATTTTAATAATACTGAAAATTCTTTTGTTGTAGGGTATAATTATTTATTTATGAAAAAGACTTTCATCGGGTGTCGTATATTATTATAGATTGGATGAAAATTACACAATAGACATGGAAGAACAATTTTAGATAGCATAAACAAAAATATCAGGATGTGTTTTAGTTGAAAGAGAGATTTATATAATTACAAGCAATTTTTTGATGATAAAAAACACAAAAAAAATATAGGAATTATAAGAAATACCTATTGGTTAAAATGATTTAAACAATATAGTTTATAATTCCATCAGAAATTTAATTGTTATTTCTAATAACATTGGAGAAATTTATATATGTGAAGTACCTTTTGTAAAAATAGGACTTAAAGTTCAAACTAATACACTTCAAATTAAATAAATATTAATAGATAATGAAAGAAATTATCTTATGGCATTAAATTATGATAGAAGTCATATTATTATTTTTGATTTTGCAAAGGGTCTTTAAAATGGATTTACTTAAATAAAAACAAATGTAGAGATAAAAAATAAAGTAATATAATAATAATAATTTTAGAGTTTATGTTTTGAGTGGTCAAAGAAAAGGGGAGAGATATTCATCGGAAATGAGGATGGTACAATATCTATTTGGAATGTCCAAGATTTATAACCATTTTGTAAGTATAATATTCTAATAAGATGTTTTTAAAGCTCATTCTAAAGGAGTTAACAAGATTATTTGGAATGAAAATTAATCATTACTAATGTCAGGAAGTGATGATGAATCTTTAAAATAATGGTATTTCCCAAAGAAATGGAGGGTTAGTCAAGCCGATAACTTCTCAACTTTTTGATTTATATTATTTTAATTTCATTAATATTATAAATAGAATAATCAAAGTAAATTATTAAGATACTAACAAGATGTTCTAGAAGATTATTAGTTGAATAAACCATAAGAGAAACAAAATTAATATATTTTACAAAATATCTAAAAATTCTTTCAATTAAACTTTGATTTTATTACAATTAATTGATTTATCTGATTTGATTTGATTTATTTAATTTCAATTATTATTTGGATTTGAATGAGATAGAATAAAGAAAATGCTTTATTTAATCATAAAAAATGTGATATAAAATAAATTATTTGTTATAAATTGCTATAATAATTAAATCAATTAGCAAGCAATTTTCTCTTAAGTTGTCCTAACTTTGATGAGATTAGATCAACTGCAACTACAACAACTCTCTTTTATTTAATTCTAAAAGTTGTTTAACGTTATACCTGTTGGCTGTGTCAGTATCATATTCATTTTTCTTAAGCCTACAATCTGTTTCTCTATTTTCCAATTCTCGAGTTTTGGCAACAATTCTTTAATCAACTTCAAACTTTTCATTTGATGCTTATTATATTCTAGTTGATAATGATTCAACAAGTCCTACAATCATATTTTTAGATAACCTTCCATATAAGTTCTATCTTAGCTAGCTTAAACTAATTAATCTGACAAAAGGGTTTAGAGTAATTCAAAATTACCAGATCTAAGAGCTTCAGCTTAATCTTCTCTAATTCTTTCGGATTATATATAATTTTCTATTTATTTTAAAATAGATAAGACTTTTCTAGTCAAAACTTCTGCTTATGATGGTTCATCTTATGCTTTAGCTGCTAAACGACTTATCATTTCAAGCATGGCTCTGTATCCTTCTAAATGTACCTAGAATAATATTATTAATAACATGATGCTTTAATTTATTGACTTTAGCTGCTACTTAAGTAAATGATGTAAATTATTAGCCTTAATTCTCAACATCATCAACTTCAGATTAATCATATTTGAAACTGTATGTTTCCTATAAGAATGAAGGTTCAGGTTTGTCAAATCTTTTTCTATTTTTGACAAGTACGTCTAAATAACTATTGAAATATCCTTTAACTTAATTAACACCAAATAATGCTTATTCCAAATTATCTAATATAACTTAATATGTTATGGTTTCTGTCTCCCTTTTATGAGTTTAATAATTAAGTTCTGTTTTAAGATCATTAATTTCATTATTTTTTCTTTCTAGACTAGCTACTGCTGAAACCTTTTAAGGATTCAAGCTGTCCAATTCACTCTTAAGAGTTAAAGAATTGACAGTATTTTAATTTATTTGATCCTTTAAAGTGTTAATATCAATGTCACAATTTTATGAAATTCTAGCTATCCTTTTATCATCTCTTTCTTATTCATTCTCAAGTGTAGTTTCTAAACCTTAAACCATGTCTATAAGATTAGAGACTACAGGATCACCAGTTTGCAATTCCATCAAAATTGTTTGTAATATTGTTTAACCAAAGTTGGAATTCTATAACTCCTCTACTTATGAATCAAAATCAGCAGCTTAGCTACCAAGAATAAGAAGAATTGTAAGTACTATAGAAAACTTCATTATGAATATAAAATATATAATAACAAATCCGTTTTTATTAGTTTTATATTATTCCAATATATTTGAATCAAAATAGTAGATCCTCAATGTAGCTTTTAGATTCCTTATCAAATCTAATTTTAAAGATATCAATTTATTAAATTATAATATTGTGTTATGCATATCAATTATTATTTTTATTATTCATTTTTGTTAAGTTTATAAGTTATTTACTTTCTCAAAATATCAAAAAATCACATCCTAATATGATTCCTTTTTCTTTTATTCTTTATTTAAAAATATAGTAATTTATATTTGCCTCTAGGAAGGATATTTCATTCTTAATTATAAGTATTTATTAGTTTATAAATGTGATTTTTAAATAACCTATCAGAATTCAAATCTTCTATGAAATTAATAATAATTTATCTTTAAAAATTAATTTCTTCCTTTTATATATCCAATCTAATGTTAAAAATGCTATAAATAGATCTGAAATTATTTATTTTTATTACATTTTTAGCTGCTGCTATCATTTTTTAAGAAATTAATCTTCTTTATTAGGATCATAATTGTAATAACAGATAATTAATTATCCTTTAAATTCATAAAATAGGCTTTATGCAAATATAAATTAATTTTAAGACTAATTTTCTATGCCTTTTATTTAAATACACTTAGTTTTATTATCTTCCAGTTTATATTTATTATTCAAATTTGTAATTCATTTGATGAAAAAGTTAAAAACTTAATCTGGCTGATTAAAGTTGTAACTTTTTTATTAAAATTATGTCTTAATTTCATATTATAAAATTTGTTCTTTACTATTCGCAATTACCATTAGTATTTGGAAATAAAGTTAATATTTCAAAATCTCAAAATGTTTTCAATAAATATCTCAAAGGAAAAAGTTGCAAAGATTATTGTAAAAAAAATGATGATTATGATCATTGTGTAATGAATGCAAAATGGAAAAAGAATAACCAATTATTCAAATAATCAGCATAACTTGTATTGTCTTAGGATTGATGTTCATTTTATTCATAATTTGGAAAAGAAAGCAAGTTTTAAGATTATTTAGATGTGTACTAAATAGAAGAAAAATAATGATGGAATCATTTTTAAATAATGCCATCTTAATAAAAAATAGTAATATTTTGCTGAATCAATTAAGGAAAGTGAGTAAAATGTTAAGTTAGTCTAAAAATGAATTGATATTTACATAAAATGGAAAAATTCACAAAGAAGAGGATGTATAAATAATGTGTAAAATTAATGAGGAAAAACAATTCATACAAATTAATCTATTAGGAAATGATAAGTATGGTACTTGGAGTGGCAGTGGAATTATAAGAAGTAAATGTTTTTAGTGGATAATTGCATTATGATTGATTTGAAAATAATTTAACTTACAGTGGTACTTGGATTCTAAAAATTATATGAATAAAGCATTTTATATTTTAACTCATTGATTAGTATTATTATCAATTTGATATTTAATTCTCTCGACTCAAAATTATAACTAATAAATATAGTTTGATAATCAAGGTCCTAGAATAAATCATATTGATATACTATTGTTATTAATTATAAATAAATCGTAAATAAATTTATTTTTACAAATATCATAAATACCTATGCTCTTATCTACATCCAAGCTAACCACTTCAAAACTCTCATCTTCCTAATTGTCTAGTCCAAAGAGATCTACAATTAATTATCTCAGTTAAGATTTGGATTCTCCAGCTAGATAGAGAATCAAATTACTTTCTGATAAATGGAATCACATTCAGAATGGAATTGATAAAGATAAACTTGAGAAGAGAGAAGTATTAGAAGAGAGAATTAAAATAATTGAAGATGTTTTAGCCTCTGAGAAGCCTAAAGATGAATAAAGATTTAAGGTATTGAAGGATTAAGTCTTAAAATTATAAGATCAAGCACACAATCAAAAATCAGAAAGAGAAGTATATATTAATACTAATAAGGCATTTGATGACAAAAAAGAGAGAGATTTTAGAACACTTTCAGATAATGTTGCTCTATCTTTTGATTAAGAAAGAAATGCTAGAGGATAGGCTGAAACTAAGCTTTAAAAATAAATTGATGAAAGATTTGCTTAAATTACACTTACTATTACTAGAAACACTCATTAATATGAAGATAGAAGTCAAGCCAAAATTGCTGAAGTTCTTTAGTAAGTCTAATTAGTGAAAAATTAATTAGATTAAGAAAGAAGATCAAGGTAGTGATTTTTATATAATCTATAGAGAAGAAGCAGCAGAATCTTTAACTGAATAAATTGATAGTGAAATTAATAAATTTTCAGATTAATTATTAGTAGAGAAGAAAGTTAGAGAAGAAACATAAGGAAAAATATTTAGAATGATTGAGGATGTTCATGGAAAATTACAATAAGATATCAGTTTTGAAAGAAGAGAAAGAGAAGCTACGACTGAAGCATTGCTGAAATTATTAGAAGATGCTTGCATAAAAATAGATAAAAATTTTAGATCATTTTGATTTATAAATCAATAAAATATAATATTATTTATCTATTTATTATCATCTATAATAACATTATAGAGAGTTGCTAAATGTTACAATTACGTAATAGTTTTACTTGAATTTTTTCTTATCAATTTTATTCCAAAATAATTTACACTCTCTCATTATTCTATTAGTAAAATTATTGTAGATTTAATTGGATTTAGATGTTCAATAAAATTAATAAATATTTTTTGTTTTCAATAAATAAATGGATTCCAATAAAACAATACATTTTATACTTCCAAATGGTGAAAAGAGAAGTATTAATAAAAATGATGATGTCTATTATAGAAATATAGCTAAAGGTAGAAAATACAATAAATATAATAGAACTCAATTTATAAATTCCTGAAGAATTTGTTGCACTGTATGATATGTAGTAAAAAAAAGTCATTAGCAAATATATTGATAAGTAATTTTTTTATTTTAAATAAGATTATAGACAGAATCAATATATAAACTATTTTAAATTTAATTAGCAGTGAGTTTAATTGAAAGTAAGGAATAGGAAATAATAAAATAAAAGGAAGAAATTGATAAACTTAAAAAATAATCTTTATAAAGTTAAAATATTAAAATTAATAAAACTCAAGTAGATTAAATACAGGAATAAAGAAAAGACTTAATATCTTTATAATATAATTAAAATTGGATTAATGATGAATAAGATAAGTATTAAAAAGACATGATAAAAGAATTATATCAAAAAGATATTAAATGTGATTTATGTGCTTAATAATCTTAAAAATATGTAAATCATATTGAAAGTTTAATAAATTAATTGTCATAAACAAGATAAAGTGTTTATTAAGTTTAAGAAAATTTCTAATCTTTCTAATCATATAAATAAGATAAATAAATGGAATTATATTAGTTGAGAAATTATAAAGTTTAATTAGAATCTGATAAAAGAAATATTTAATCATAAAAGTAATAGTTGGATACAAAAGTTAGAAAATTAGAAAAACTAAAAGAATAATTAGAAGACGATGTTAAATCTAAAATATCTGAAAATGATTAAATGGAAAAACAAAAAAAATAGTTAGATTTATAAATAAATAAATTAAATAATTAACTTATTAAAGAAAACGAAAGATTTTCAGAATTATAAACATAGTATCGATAAGAAATACAAAAAAAAGAGAGAGAAATAAATAAAAAAAATTAACATATTAAGTATTAATAAGATAATTTAGATAATATAACTGAAAAGTATAAAAAAATATAAAAAGAGTTTAAAGATTTATAAGATAAATATAATTAAGAGATAAAAAATAAGAATGGATAAATAATACCAGAAGAAATTTAAAGTTTGGAAAGAAAATTAAATGAAGAAAAAGAATTAAATTAAAATTAATAGAAGAAAAATTAAGATCTACAGAATATAATAAATAAATTATAAAACAGTCTTGATGAATCAACAGCAGAAATTATCGAATTGAAAGGAACAATCGAAAATACGGAATAAAAATTTAAATTATGTTAAGAAAAATCAATAAAAGATTTAGATTTTAAATAAAAAACAAGTGAGTAAGAAATTGAAAAATTAAAAATAATGAAAATTAAATAAATTGATAAAATAAATTGGTTAAATCAAAAAATTGAGGAAGATAGTCTTAGATGGAGTGAAAAAGAAAGAAATTATTAAATTGAAATTTAAAATTTGAAATAACTATAAGATGATATAATTATAAAAAAAAAATAATTTGATGAAGATCTAAGTCAATAAAGATAAGAATTTATAAATCAAGTATAAAAATCCTTAGCTTCAATTTTAATTGAAAACACTTGACATCAAATGGTATTGAATTATATAATAATTTATTTCAACAAATACAATTTTATAAATTTTAGTTAAATATTAATAAGAGTAAATAATTCTAGAAACTTAACTGATATCTAGATATTAATTTTATATCCAATTTGCTCAATATAATTATTTCTTTATACAAGATTGATATATAATTTTAGTAATAATCTATCAATTCTAGATTTATTGTAAATAATAAAACTTTAAATGATGAATATATATAATAGCTTATATTCATAATTATTACTTTATATATCATTTGCTACTTGGTCCTGGAACGCAATTAAGAACATGAATTCTATCCCAAATACCGCATTACTCAGATTTCCAACCTTTTTAACATCTACCCTATCAAAATACTTTCATCTTGATACTGATTTGCAACAAACTTATGTTTCATATCCACAAACAACTCCTCCAGCACTTTAACATCTATTTGTACAATCCAAACTCCAAGGAGCAAATTAATATTCTTATCTAAGATTATTTTATCCATTAAGTTAGTTACAAAGAACTAATCCTATTATGAGAATAAAAACACAAACTTTCATTATAAGTTATTATAAATAATAAAAACGATATCGGAATTATATTATGTAAAAAAAATATCTATTTATGATATTCATTCTTAAGATTTCTATAACCAATTATCATAATAGAACTCTTATAATTTATTGTTTAAGCTAATTCAATAACATTATTAAATTGAATTAATTTAATTCATTATGAATTTCTATTTTTTCATTCCATTTCTCAATAATAATCCTTCTAACACTTTATTATATAATTATATTAATCATATTTATTAAGTGCATCTCACTATTTTATTATATCTAAATATTATTTTTTTATAAAACTTTTCTTATTTAAACATTCACTTGAAACTTAATAATAAATTTATTTTTTTCTTATGATTTAATTGTTTTTATAATAGGCAATGTTTTTTATACCTAATTTTTAAGGTTAATATATTTTAATTCTTCTGTATTTATATTGTTTGATCAGATTCCTAATGGTTATTTAATAATACTTTTTGCAAAAATAAAAAATATACATCTTAAATTGATGCACATAATAGAGAGATTAAATTTGATTTTTCATAATAATTATAAATCTAGAGTCTATGAAAATCTTTTGTTTGATAATATATAATGATAAATAAAAACAGATAATAAATCAGTTTTACTCAATTATTTGCAGCAATTATATCTCGAATCTATTAGGCTAGAAAAAGCAGTGGATTGAATGACATTTCTTCTCTTTATTATCTAAGGAATTATTTCATTTTTTCTAATTCATGTTTATCTGCTTGATCTTCATCTTCTTGATCCTCTCTGATTTCTCCTAATGATAATAAAGTGTCTTTTTTTAGATCTTAAGATGTCTATTCTTCTGCACCTCCTTATTAGGCCTATTCATCCATAGGTAAAGGTGATTGAATTTCTTTTTGGTCTTTGCCCATAAATTTATGAAACTCTGATTGATTAATACCCATTTCATCTAAATCAACTGATCCTTCTGATGATTCATACTCAGATCCAAGTTCAGCTCTAAGTCTCTCTTTTTCAACTCTCTTTTATTCAATCTTATCAAATATTTTTATTTTCTTAAGTCTTTCTTGATGTTTTCTAACTTCATCTGATTTAACAACATGATCGATTAACTAATTTAATTATTCTAATTACTTTCATTAATGCTGGTTATAATCCAGGATAGACATTTTACTATAAATATTCTATGGCAACTAAATCTCTTTTAGTGTTTGGTATCATTGAATTGCAAATTAATTATAAAAAATATTGTTAAATAACTCAAATAAGAAAGTCACTTTATTTTAAGACTATTATAATTGTATAATATGAATAATCCATTTAATTACTTTCTAAAGGATCTTAGTTAATTAATTAATATTTAAGATTATTCATTCTTGTATTAATAATTGTAAATATTTCTAAATAACTTTAGAGTGTAATTACTTTTCAACAATAAATGATTAAATTTTAATTAAGATGTTATGACTTAATCTATTAAATCAGTAATTATTTGAATTACTATTTAATTTAATTAAAAAATGATCTTTTATTTTCTTAAATTATATATTTTTTTATTTATTTATTTATTTATTTCCATACTATACTACTCAAAAATTTGATTTTCTTTATTGAAAAATCAAGATATTATCTATATTTGATATAATACTTGATTATTTGATTTTGCCTCATCTTTAAAATTTATTAATGTGATGGATATTTAGATAGAATATTTGAAAAATGAAGTTAAAATAACATAAATCATTTGCTTTTGATTTTATAATTATCCTCAATTTATTTACAACCCAGAAGAGATTCATAAGATTCTTACTCAATTTATTCATCATCTAATTAAATTAATACATTTTCAATTAATACTTAATCCTTTAATAATATTCTCCGCTTAAGCCATTCTATAAAGATAAAGAAATTTTATCTATTAGTTTCAAAAAAGCAAAAAAACTGAAATCTTTCATTATTCAAATAAATTGTAATTTTCAGATCAAATGATAAATTTAAAATATTATCAAAAAGAATGATTTGATAAGAGATTTATTTTAATATCATATTGATGTATTAGGCTGATGGAGTATTTTTTATATTAATCAGTTAACTCTATACTAATGATTGATTTCTTAATAGTAATTTTTAATTTGATAATCTATTTTTTATATAAGGATAGAATAAATAATAATTAAATATCAATAAAATATGCATAAAATATGCTAAATATAAATTTTGATATCAACATTGTAAGCAAGTAAATAAGGAAATGTCAATTCAATTATATATAGTCGTTTTAATGTATATTATAAAATTTATAAGATTAAGATAATTGCAGATTATATTTAATATAAATAACAAAAATTGTAATGCTCTAGAGAAAAATATTTGTACCATCTAAAAGAAAATAATAGAAAGAATCTCTAGAATAGGATGATTTCTATTTTGAAAGTAACTTTGAAGCAGTTGAGATGGAAGAGATAACATCTATGTTGGCTAAGAGACTTAAGTTTGAAAATTGTGAAGAAGGATTGAATGATTCACTCAAATTCAAAAGATGTTGTTTTAGTGATGATAAATTTATTAGTTGTAATTAAGGATTAGAAATACTAACTTAATAATAGGAAATTTCTTTAATACCTAATGAAAAGCATTCTACTAAATAAGTTAATTAATTAAAATGTGGAGAGAGGAGATGCATACAATTAAAGAACATTGCAGAGTTTAAACATTTAAGAACTGGAGAAATTAATTATCTTGAATTTATTGGATTTCCTGAAGCTCAGAAAAAATTGAAGTTTAAAAAGAAAAAGGGGATCAATAAAATAACTAAAAAGATCTACAAATTTTGAATATAAAATTGAAAATAGTCATCCATATTTCTAAATTTAGTTACTAATTTATAACATTTTTAATTTAATTTATTTGAAATATTATGAGATTTCTTATTATATATTTTAATATCTCTTATTAATAATATATTAAATGGAGAATTTCATTATTTGGAATTAATTGTGTTTATACAAGAGAATAATTATAATTATTTATTATTTTTATAATTAATATAAATTTAAGAATGAATTATAAACCAATATAAAATGATTAGCATTCATTAGATATAGGAGAGGATGATGGAGAATTGGATATTGTAGTAAAAAGGAAAGAAAAACCTAAGCCTAATTAAAAATCGTTTTTAATATGGATTATGATTGTAACATTTCTTGGTGCTATTCTCATATATATTAGTTAAAGTAATATGACAACCACTGATAAAAATAAAACAGGTAAAAATTAAAATTTTAATTTCACAAAAGTGAATAAAACAAGTAATACGTGTTTTAATTTAAAGCTATTCCTGATAATAATGAAAAATAAATAGATTCTATTGAAGAAAATATAAAGGATGTTGATTTAAGGAATGATTCATAAGCAAATTAAGACAAATTTAATAAAACATCTAATGATATAGTTAAAGAAGAAGAAGAAGAAAAGTTAGAAAATGGAGAAGAAGAAAAAGATATTGATTTTGAAGGTATTATGAAATAACAACAATAAATTTAGAATTATAAAAATAAACAGATTAATTAAATAAAGAAATAAAAGAATATTTTAAACATAAGAATGAAACAGAAAATATAGATATAGTTAATGAAGTTTAATAAGATCCTAGATATGGTGAAATACTATGTTAAAGTGGTTATTATATGAATAAAGATGAAAAGAAATGTAAAAAATGTGAAGATAGATGTTCTGAATGTATGCATATTATTGGAACATGTTACAAATGTTAAAATGAAGTATCAATTAATCATATTAAGAGTACTACTTAAATAATTATGGTAAATGTATCTAAAAATGTGAAGGAAAACATGATTCAAGTAATCTATTATTATCAGATGATAATAAAAATTAAAGTATTCCTATTTGTTTAGGTAATAATCATACTTCTTCACTCTTTATGTCAGTTTAAAAGTCTAAAAATACTCATTTTGTTTTACCTTATTTGATCATTCATCCAGCTACTACTGTTTCATTAATGTATCATAACAATTATCCTCTTGTTTATTATTTCAACAAAGACATATTCAATTTTGAAGATGGAATGAAATTAAATGAAATTATCACTTAAGCTCAAGAAAAATAATTAATAGTTATTTTAATAGGAGCTCATACTCTATATGACTTCTCATTGTTCAACAACTTTTTATTTTAAGAAGCCTTACAAAATATAGAACTTTTGGTTAAAGCAAAAAGTTCAACTTTTAGGGCATTTTTTGGTTAAGATTATAATGCATATGGAGTCATCAGAGAATATTAATCATAATACAAAAATAACTCTGTTGATTTAGTAATTTCAGATGATCCTGTAGAAATTGATCAGTATTTCATATATTCATATTAATAGTGAATACTTGGAATCTAATTTATTGGTGACTCATGAATAACATTATACTGATTATAAATTTGAATCATTATAAGGAGCTTAATCATAAAAAACTACTGTAATTTTGTTATTCCATACAAAAAACGAATAAGATCAAAAGGATTATTGTTCAAGATTTCTTTATGTTTCTTTCTTGTAATGTGTAGTGAGAGAAATTCAAATAGATCATATTTAAAGAATGAGATAAGGATTTGAATTGATTTCATAATTTGTTGTATAACCAGATTTATGATGAATTTTTTATTGTTCTATTTATGTATTATTATTAAATCAAGGGAACAATCTAACAGGATCTCTTGGAAACATACATGCATTTCTGATATTCTTAAGATTGAAATATAAGAATGCCACTCTTTCTAATCCAAATGCACATCCTCCATGTGGAAAAGCACCATATCTAAAATTATTATTTAATCATATATACCTGAAAGAATCAATGTAATCTTTCAATGGTTCAACAGCAATACCTTTCTCTTTAATTTGTTTAATTAAGAGTTCTGGATCATGAACTCTTTATGCTCCTGAAACGATTTCCTCTCCTCTCATGAAAAAGTCATAGGATAAAGTATAATTAGGATCATCATGACAAGGCATAGTATAAAATGGTCTTGCTTTCTTTGGATATCTGTGGAGAATGTAAAAATCAGTTCCATATTTTTCTCTGACTAATTTTCCAAGAGTCTTTTCATTAGTAGTATCTAAATCATCATTAGGATCTTGATTAACACCTGCTTCATGTAACATCTTAACACCTTCTTCAAAAGTTAATTTAAGTACTGGTTCTGGTATTTTGAATGGTTCAAATGGAAATTATTAAGAAATTATTTCTATTTCCTTTTAATATCTCTTTTCAATTCCCTTAAACATATATATACATAAATCTCCCATTAAATCTAATAATTCTGTAAAATGTTCCTTAATAACCATTTCAATATCCATACTAATGAATTCACATTGATGTCTATGTGTATTAGAGTTTTCAGCTCTAAAAACAGGAGCAACTTCAAAAACTCTATCATAATCAGCCATCAAACACATTTATTTATATAATTATGGAGATTATGCTAAACAAGCATCTTAATTGAAATATTTCAATTTAAATACATTAGTACCACCTTCAGAAGTACCTCCAATCAATTTTGGTGTATGAATTTCAATAAATCCATTTTCTACCAAAAATTCTCTGAATAATAATCCAATACCTGATTAAACTCTGAAAATTGCTTATTTAGCTGGAGTTCTAAGGTCTATAACTCTATTATCTAATCTTGTTTTTAACATGACTTATATTTATTATTTTTCATTTTTATCTTATTTATCTTATTTCTCTTATTTATCTTATTTTATTTAAGGTTCTTCTTATTTCATTTCTTAAACTCCATCTTCAAAGTCTGTTATTCTTCTTGAAGCATCTTCAATTTAAAATGGTAACATAGGTAAAGATCTACTTACTACTTTAATTGATCTAATTTCCAATTCCACTTTTTATGTACAAGATAATATCTCTTTATTTGGTTATTTAACAAGTGCTTCAATATCAACAACAGATTCAAGGGGAATGCCTGATATAAATTTAAGCATTTTAGCACTTGCAAACTCACCCTTTTCAGCCACTACTTAAATTGTATTATAATTCTCTCTTAAAACCAAGAAGGCCAACTTTCCCTTTACTCTTGAATTATGTATTCTAGCCCTTACCAAAATTACTTAATTCACTAAAGTTTAGTCAACATCACCAACTTTAATCCATTTACGATTTGTTCTCTCTTGAGATTAAATCAAATTCAAATCTCCATACCTTCCAACGCAATTATCTTCCTCTTAAACTTACTATTATTATTGTTATTATTCTTATGCATTTTATGCTATGTTTAGATTTATCAATAAATACCTTTTTAGTGCTCTTATTTTTTTTAAGCCTTTTCTGCTTCCTTTTTTTCTCTTTGTAATTATTTCTTTGACTTTTATTCCCCTTCTGCAACTTATTCTGGAGGTTGAACTGCCTAATCTTACATCTTAAAAAATTTATTCTTTTATTAAAAGATAAATCGAAATTAAATCGGCCTGATTAATGCATTGAAAAGTTTAAGTTATCTAATAATCATATATATATAATAATTATTATTTTATATATATCATCTAAATAGACAATAATCCCTAGTTCTCTCTTTACAATAAATACACTGATCTAATAAATCTATAAATTTAGAGTATAAAAATCATTATAATAAGTACATTAAAAGATTCAAACCAAAAAAATTCTCAGGGGATAGAAAAATAAAAGTTAAAGTAATAGTTTTCAAACTAAGTAAGCTTAAAAATTTGGCAGTTTAAAATTATGATTGATATTCATATGTTTTGAATCATTAATATTAAATTAATAGATAAAAAGGAGATTTTATGAATCATATTTACATGAATTAATTAAAATTATTTCACCAATGCTAAATAAATTGATTAATTGATTAAAAATGAAAGTGATTCAATTGAATTATTAAAAATTTGGGTAACGTCTAAATGATTGTTCTATTTTTTTTATTTGGTTATTATCATTAAACTAGGTATTAATAACATTATATAAAAAATGATATTTATATTTTAAATGATACTTTAAAAAAATAAATTTATCAAAATTATAAATTATATGTCTTGAGTTCAAGTTTTGATTTTCTATTAAATTTAAATTATTGTTTAATTTTATAAAATAAGGGTAATATTATTTTATTAATTTAAAGGCATGTAAAATTTTTCGGTTAAAATTACTAATAAAGATTTTATGAATTTGTTAGTGATTTGAATAAGGTATGAAATGAGGAGTTACATCTTAATTTAGAACCTGTATGAAAATAAAGAAATGATTTTTAAGTCAAAAAAAAAAAAAGGTTTGGCAAGATTACCAAAACAGAGACTTTAATAACAATGCTAAAAAATTAAATTCTGCAACAACCATATTTTTAAATTTCATATCATATGAATTATTAGATTAATAAATTTTAATTAAATGTAAACTTTAGTAGATCAAAATTAATTTTTCTAAATAGAATATTAATTTTCCAGAAATTTTAAAAAATTAATAACATATTTTCACCTAAATTGATTATGATAATAATATATATATATTTAATTTCTCAATCAAGCTTAACCTTTTTAACAACAGGATCAGCAATAAATGAATCCATACCAAAAATATTGTCAGCTTTTTCAAATTAGACTGGAACATTTCTTATACTCTTATTGCTAAAGATATTTCAGTATTAATACTTATTATCTTCTTCTCCTTATTAAATACCAGTATATAGATTTGCTCGTGGTTTTTCATTGAATAAGGGTTTATCAAATGCTTCATATTCATCTTCATCTCCAAATCCATGATTTACTCCTTGTGTTTAGTTAAATAATCTTTAATCATATAAAGTATTTTAAGTAGTAGGTTATGCTTAACCTAAAGCTATTTTTTCACTAATATCTCTGTCATTATCTCTATTAAGTTTACTCTTCTTTCCTTAATTCTCTTATCTTAACTATCTTTCAAGCTCTCTTTTTCTTAAATATCTTAATTCTTCTCTAGCTTACAATTCTTATTATTATAAATTTTCTGAGACTTCTTCTTATTTTGTTGTTTATTCTAAAAGTAGATTCTTTCTTTATCTAGCTTCCATAGCTTTTTATCTATTTTCTTCTTCTTTTTCTTAATATTCTTTATATTACATAGATTTTAATATTTTATTCCTTTCTTCTAATTCTTTTCTAGATTATCTTTCTGCAATATAGAGACCATCAGTTAATTAAGCGAATTTTGCATTTACAGTATGCTTTTTAAAATAAATAATGATTAAATACATGTTAAAGTGTTCTTCCATCTGCAGACAATCTCATTTCTAATGGGATTGTATAACCTTTAGCATTTTTCCAATTAGAAATACATGGAGGAATTTTCCAATCTTGTTAATCTTTTAAAGTTAATTTTCTTGGTGGAGATCTCATTTAAATTGGTGGTGGTGATCCTGGACCTTTAGGAATTCTTTTATGTTTAAAACGAGGAGGTTCCATAGGATCCAATTATTGAGCTTGAACTCTTTAAATATTAATGAATAGTTCTACTTAACAATTCTCTCCTAGCCAGTCTATTATGAATCACCTTATTTTGGTGTGTATTTGATATATTATTATGCAGCTCCATCTGAAGCTCTCAATTATCCCATAGTTGCACATTACTTTGAAAATACTAATTAATCTATTTGTTTCTTTGTGTGAATTGCAATTTATTCACTAACCTCTTTTGAAGGCTTTTAAAGTTCTGCTTCTGAGAGATATGTATTTTTAAAATTGTGTGCATATTATGCCCCATCAGTTCCTCTAAAGGGTTTAATCATATATTTTATTTTTGAATATTTTATATTGTATTTTAATATATTATCACTATTTATTAATACTCAACTGTTATTACAAAGTGGAAATCGAAAATTCTGGCTTATATTCAACTGGTATTTCAATAGGTTTATATTATTTTTCTGAAATTTTAAAGCCATAGTATTTTATTTACTATTCCACTTTTTCTTCGCTTTTTTTCAATAAAACAAGTGGTTCAGGATTATTCTTAGCCAATTCAGGAAACAATTCTGGATGATAACTGTATGGTGGTGGAGGATAGTGAGTTCTATTTGGATTTTCTCTAGGAATAACATCAACATAAAATATTTTCTTAAATTTATATGGATCTCTTCTGAAATGTACAATACCCTTTATAATAAATTATAAAATGAAAATACTTCAACTTTAGAATGAATAGTATGATCTTTTCCAACAGAAGTATTTTATCCTGGTTTCCATCTAAAACCTCTTTATCTAATTAAAATATCATTTGGAAAAACTTCCTCTCCTCCAAATTTCTTTACTCCTAATCTTCTACCTGCAGAATCCTTAGTTTTTTAGGTTGAACTAGCTTGCATCTTTGTTGCAAATCCATAGTATATGTTTTCTGATAAGGATTTGAAATAATTCTAAGCAAATGCCTTAATCATATATTATTTATGTTAAATATTGAATACAAAAATGTTTTAATAACTATCATCATTAATGAATAGATGTCTTCTATTTTTGATTAATATTTCTTTTAGTACTACCACTTCTACTTCTTGGTTATGTTTAAATACTTTCTATAAAAGATGAAATGAAATATTTTTACAATGAATATTTTTCTGTAACATACTTGAATTTTAAGAATTATTTTTTGATGCTGTATAATTTCCTATATGTGTTTTGATATTTTTAATTGCATTATGTTATTGTATTAAATCATTAATTGATGATATAGAATTATGCTTTATTTGATAACTTTTTATTTAATCCTATTGTAAATTAATTTATTGTTATTATGATTACAGATGATGATTTTATCCATATTACAAAATATTGAAATAGTTCTATTTCAAAGACCCTTATGATTATGTAGGATAGTCAGTGCTTTCTTAGAATTAACTACTTAATTTATGTTCTGAATATGAATTAGTCTTATTCGTTTCTTTACAATTTGGTTTTCTTTAAACCAATCCTTTTATTTATTAAGTATTTTTAGTTATTTACTGAACTTCATAATCTACATGATCAAGTTCAATAGTTCTCTTTTATTGTTCAAATTCTAGTTATTAAATCTATTCCTTGAGAGATACTATTTCAAATTGATAAGATTGATTTTCTTCATAATATTTTTGATTCTCTCTTTTCAAATTCTAATATATTATTAATATAATATACATTCATAATATTTTTAGTTGTTTCTAATAATTCATTTCTTGTTGCTTCACTTTCATCTAATTTTTATTAGATAGATTCTGCATATAATTTCAATTATTATTCTAACTAAGATTAATTAATACTAAAATTTATACCCTAATGTGATTTCTAATCTCACTCTCATATTTAATAACTGATTATTCTAATTTTTCATATTCATCTTCTGTTCTTATACTTTTTTACGAAATATTTGGATCTATACTATTTTCTAATTTCCTTTCATAATTGCGAAAGCTTACTGGATTTTTCTTTCAATCTTCAACATTAAATTAGTGAAGATAATTTTAATTATATTTACTAATTAAGTCAAATTTTCATAATCTTTCAGTTCTTTTTCAATTTCATTTAAATCATTTTTGGTCTCTATATATTTCTCCAATTGCATTAATATTCGCTCTAGTAAATCCTTAAGAGATGACTCCATTTCTCTATCAGAATATGTTATCAAACTTGTTTCACTCATTAACAGTTAATTTATTTAATAAATACATATATATAAATGTTATTTCATATTAATATTTTATTTTCATCCTCTAATAACAATAGATTTAAGTAATAACTAATATAATTATCATCATTATTAAGTAAATATGAATTTGTAGATTATAATAATTATAATAAAAAATACATAAATTCAAATTCATATCAATTTCTCATTTACAAAATAACTTCTAGTATTTCTTAAAAAATTATCATCAAATAAGATTGATGTCAAAGGTACTGAATATATAAATTTTGTCAATAGTTTATAATTTCTTAATTAAATTATCTAATCAAATTTAATTAATAATAATCCATTTATTATTGAAATACATAAACAAGCTACTGTAATTATCTAAATATTAATTTATATATTACATTATAATTTACTTCAACACTTTAATTATAATAAAATAAATCTGAATAAAATCTTTCAATTATATATTATAGACTATAACTTAATATTGTAATTCCTTCTAATTCTAAAATTGGATAAGTTGATCTATTTGTAAAATTTGTATATTCAAATTCAGTCTTTATCTGATTTTTTATATCAATTAATGCTGTTGAAAATCCTTTCTATAAAACTCCACCAAGTACATTATTACAAATATTCAAAGATTTGTCAATTACCTAATATAATTTAAAATAGAATTACAATTAATTCTTCACATAAATTACCATTACTAAAATTATCCAAAAGACTAGAAAATTCTTAATCAAAAAAATAATTATTAGGTTAAAATGTCCATTATTAATCAACATATTATTACAATCCTGATAATCCTTATTATGCAATTATGTAATATTAATTGAGATCTGTTTAATTTAAAAATGGTAATGCTGTTTTATAATAAAGTACTTCTCTTGATTAATAGAGACTTAAAACATTTATATTTAAATTAGCAAATACTTCATATAATTTACCAGTTTACTTTATTTTTGAATATGTATCATAAATTTGTATTGTCAATATTATAAATGATAAGGCTAATATTAAAAAATGTGTTAATGTAAGTAAAATTGATTTAGGTTTATAATATTAAGCAAGAATTTAGTTTTTTTTTAATTAATGTTTTTATTGTTAATTACATTAAGATTTAATCATTCCAAAATACTAATCTTTTTCTTAAAAATTAAGTTTATAATTTTAAATTTAATGATAATTTTTATCAATCATTTCTTACAATATAGTTAATCTTTATATTTCTAAATTTAAGAAACTTTAATCTTAATTTAATAGTAATAATTTGAGTTTTTCCTTTTATATTTAAAACAATAAATCAGAAATTGTTAATGTAAATTAAATCATTATAAAAAAGAAAAATAAAACAAAAAAGAGAATTAATATTTTCTGCTAAGAATCATCTAAATTTTATTATTAAGAATCATAAGCAATTTGATTTGCATCTGTAAATGCATTTAATAAAGTATGCAAATTCTTGTAATTATAATAAAAGTAAGAACTTTCATAATCAGCTTATCCATTTTAAATATATGCATTTTAAGTATCAAATTAATAATTCAATAAAGTAATCAAACTATTTCGAAGATTAAGTTCATTTGTTTCACCAATATTTCCTTTTTACAAAAATTCCAAATTTAAATATTAATCATGATAAAGAGAAAAAAAAATAGGTTCTGTTAAAATACCTGAAATCCCACTTTTTAGTTTTTCATAACTTCCAATTAATTTAGATTTTGGATAAACTAATAATTCCATAAATTACTATTAAGTAATCAATTTCAAATATAGTTCAACATTATAATTAACTATTGATAAACGAATCAATTGAAAGGATAAAATTGGATAAAATATATCATTTTTCATACTTAATAGTTTGAAATCTTTCTGAAAATGATGAAAAAGATCTATTTCATACAAATACTATATTTTATAATATTAATAATTACCAAACTAAAACCAATTATGGATATTAAAATTAAAAGTATTCTGAAATATATCATCCTTTTAAAAATTTAAGGGATTTTTTTTGAGTTTGCAAGTTCATTAACAAGAGAAAATTATCGAAAATAAATTGATTTTTACATAGCTGAAACACCAGATTATTGAGATGATATACCTTCTGTTTATAATTTTTAATTTTTTTGTTTTTTCCTTACTGTATTTATATCTATTTCTTCACTTATATTTTATTCTTCATCATTTTTCATTATAACAAATTATTAATCTTATTATATATCTGATTACATTAAATTTTAACATGCTAATTCAGATTTTTAAACAAATTATTAATGATATAATTTTTCTTCATGTATACTCTAATCTAACACAAAAGGTTTATCAACTATAATAGACTCATCCAAATGTGTAGTAGCAATTACTTTTTCTGATTATTTAAATTAATAAATATAAGTATCTCCATTATTATATAAACGTTTTGGATTTTTTATTATAAGTTCAAAATAATTAGATCCAAATTCATTTCTTTTATTGGAAAGTTATAAATCACATTAATAATATATCAAAGTTGACTATTAATTCCATAAAGATTAAATTTTTATTTATGATGATTATATAAAATAAGATGAATTTATTTTATTTGGATCTACAAAATAAAAGGTTTATAAACTATAAATTGTATTTTATTGTAATTAATCAATATTATCAAAAATAATACAAATATCTAAACCAATAAAATATTAAGCAAATGCTCCATCAATATTGAATACTTCACAAAAAAGTTCATCATCAATATTTATGATTCTTTTACTATCATCTAAAAATATACTATAAGAATTCTCCTTTTTTTTTCTAAAAAATACTATCATTTCAATAGAGGTTAAGTTTAATTAACTTAAATCCATAAGTAATTCAATTTTTTTACACAAACATTATGATATTTATATGTAAGATTCATTAAGTTATTAATAAAATTTATTTTGCTTACCTGAAATAAAATTCTCAATTAATTTCATATGAGATAATTAAATAAAATTGGGTATCATATCTTAAAAGTTTAGTAAATCCAATTTGTCTAAATTTTCTTATTGATTATATTTAAATTTAATAATTTTGATACTTTACTTATTGTTTATTTAAATAATCATATTAGAGAATTGATTTGTCAAAAATGTATTGCTATATTTTATATTAATCTCATCATTATTATTAGAAATGATTTTTAATTCTAGGAAGAAATCATATCATTTAATATTTCCATCTAATAAAACATTAAAATGTTTTATTATTTCTAATCTATTAAATTAAAAAATAATATGAATACCTGATGTTTTTTTAAAATATGCTTTTAATTATTTTAATCCATCTATTTAATTTTCTATTGATTTATATGCTAATTTTTCTAAATTTTGTTTAGTTATATTTGAATTTATTTTTTCTAAATAATTGATTTTATTTTATAAAACTTAACTTATAATTTTTCTAATTTAAACACATTAACCTTCAACATCAAGATATTCTTTTATGGCAAAATGTATTTTTTATGATTCATTTAATAAACTATTCTTTTGATTTGAAAATTATTATGCAATATCTAATCTCATTAAATCTTAAGCTACTTATAAAACTATTAATTTATGCAAATAATTAATTTTGAAAACTTTTTTTTTCATTTTATAATTGTCTGTCATTAAAATTTAATTTTGAAATTTAGTTCTATCTGATTTTTAAAATATTATTTAGAAGTATTAATAAATTTAAAGATATTATTTTTAAAAAAATAACAATTATAAATAACTAAAGATTTGTTAATCTTATGTACATTTGAATGACATAGTTGATATCAATCTTTCATATTGAGATAAGAGTTCTCTAAAATATATATCATAAGAAATTTATTAAAAATTTTTAGATTAAAATCTTTGTTTACATGTACATTCAATATTATAACAAGTCTTAGTGTGCTTTTATAGAAACATAAGATAGACTATCTTTTATTTAAAACTGTTTTTCTGTCTAGTTATATTATAAATGATTTAGAATAGAACAAAATTGCAATTTTCTATACTAGAATTCTAGAAATTTATAAAATGTATTTACAAATCCATTGTAATTTATTTTTGAAAATAATATAAAGGTAAAATTAATAGAAGTATCCAAAGTTGTTAAAATTAGTGTTATGGAAATAATTCATGTAATACATATTACAAACATATTGTAATATTTATTAGATTAATAACTAAAATTGTTTGATAATAGTATCCATATATGAATTACTTTAGTTTTTGCATTTAATATATTTATATAATCGATGATATAATTGGTAAGATTAATTATGTCATTCTAAAAATTAGATCATCATAAATATATAACAAAAATGATAACTATAAAAATTTTAGACCAATTCTATAAAAAATTAAATTGGATTCATTTATCATCAAATGTTCTCTTTAAAAATCTAAGGCCCAATTATAAGAAAACATATTCACAAAGAAGAAAATTAAAATTAAAATTCCAACAATAGTAATAAAGCTTAAAAAGACTTTGACAACATCATTTATATTTTATTATATCGTCTAAAAACAAATATCTATTATTATATATCCCATTCCTTGTTTACATACATTAATGGAAACATTCACAAATATAAATAATACCTTTATAAAATAATTGGTGTTGAAGGCATTTTATAATTCAATCACTAAATTTTATGATCTACTTTTCACTATAAAAATAAAGCAAATGCAACTAAGAATAAGAATACATAAAAATCCCAGTGATATATAAGTTAATATAGTTGAATTCTCAATGAATGTATTGGGTCTTGTTAACATTGTTATTAAATCCAATTCAGAAGCAGTACTGAAAAGCTTTTAATTAGAAGATATATTAATATATGCTATATTTTGTAGTTCATTAATGACTCCCAAAATGAATGATATCGTCAAAGGTAAACTCCATATAAATTATTCCAATATTAAAGCACCTTGAACAAATAGAGAAATTTGGTTGATTATTAAGTCCATCAACACTTAAATTAATTAATTATATTTTCATTTGAGTAATTGATTGAGCAGATATAGTAATTTTAAAAAAAGGAATTATATATTTCAAATTTCTTTATTATTATTTTTTTAAAAACATCTTGAGAAGGAATATTTTTTTCTAAAATTCTTAGATTTTTTAGAGATGATTGAGAATTAAAATCTAAACTTAAATGAATTATTCAATCTTCACAAAAATCTTTAATTTAAATAAGTTTTTAATAAAAAATATATATATTATTTCAATTAAATCTCCATTCAGAAGGATTTTTGTATTCATATTGTAATATCTACTTTTCCTTAAAATAATTTATTTTTCTAAATTAAAGAATAATGATCTTTGTTAATATTAATATGTGTTATAAGGTCTATTCTAACACATAACTTATAAAACTCTTCCTTTATTTGACAAATTTAGTCAATATTGTTTCATGATAAACTTAAGAAAGGGCTACATTTTCTTATAGTCATAAATATAATAATAATACATTCAATAACAATTTTAGTGACTTATTGAAATAATTTCAACTATATTGTAAAAGTTATAAATTGTTTTAGTATTTAAAATTTTAGTTTCAACTATATTTTGCATATTAATTAGCATTTTATTTGAAATAAGATTTTACTTAATATATCTCTAAGAATTGTTCATTCAAGTAGGATAAATCTTAAAAGCTTCTTGGGGTAAATTCCAGATCTAACAAAATCTTAAATTAGAGATTCTTATAAAATAATATTTACCAATATTAGTTTAAATTAATGTCAATATGAAAGTTAGTGAACTTCATTACATATTAATAAATTGTTTATTTTCAAAGTAATAGAGAATATATATTATGTGAATCAGCATTTAAAATATTACTTTTTTAATATGATTGATAATTGATATTTTATAGTGAATTTTGAATAGAAAACTTTTGGAGTAATTATTTTATTTATAAAAATTCTTATTTTGACATAAAGAATCATAATATTATAATAATGATTATTTAATTAAATAGATATATCAATAATATTTATAATAATAAATTAAAATAATAATCTCACTTTGTCATTTCTTTTTAGATCTAATAATCTAAAAATTCCTCATATGATAAACATATCTTTCCATTTTATTTTAATTTAGTATTATTTAGATGCCAATCTGTTTTATAATGTTATTTAAATTCTTGATTTGTATCAAAGGAGATCAAACATTATGTACATTTAAATTATTTAGTTAAATCACTTTTAGCATTTTCTTTTTTTTATTATTATTATATTTATTTTATTTAATTTTATTCTTCTTCTTCAACTTGTTTCTTCATTTATTATTGTTATTAAAGTTGTTACTTTTTTTATTACTTATTTTTTTTAGGTCCTTTTTATTTTTATTTCTAATTTTATTCTTCATCAGAATCATCTGAATCTGAAATTTATAATTTTTCTAGTCTCTACTCCAATTCTACTTAAGCTAAGTTATCAATTCCATCTATTTATTATTTTATTGCTGCTTCTATAACTTCTAATGTACTTTTTAATTAATTATCATTAACTTTTGTAGATAATGTTCTAAATAATTAAGGATCAATTATAACTATAAATTTATTATTCTATTGAACAATATCTTTAAGTTCTAATTCTTATAACATCTAATACACTAAATCCATTTATTCATCTATAAAAGAGATAGATACTTTCATTGGAGCTCTTTTAATATAAAAACACTCTTTAAGTTTTTTTATACATTATAAAGCTTATAATTTAACAGGTTTATCAGTTTTTACCACAAATTATACTTTTGAAACAGCATATTCAATTGATTATTGTGTTAATGGTCTACCTGATGTAGCATGAATGCATTTATCCTGTATGAATTTAATAATATCTCTATAATAATGTTCTAATTAGGCTTCTCTTTCTTTATCTCCTACCTACAAATCTCCCTTTTCTAGAATAGTCTTAATAATTTAATCTTTATCATTTGTTTAAAAACAGTAAAATAATTCCCTTCCAGATGCCACATCTCCCTTTGTAGCATTTGTGAATACTTCATAAACTTAAAGAACTTCACTAAAATTATTATTAATTAATTATACCTTAAATCCTTTTCAACTCCATTTCTCCAATTAATAGCTTTATTTTTATAGCAAGCAATTTCAAATTTTTGATTGTTATTTGTACGATATTTGATGATAGCAATATTTGTCATTTAAACAATACCTACAGGTTGTGTTACTCTCATTTATTAAAGAATATTTATTAATAAAATATTTAATAAAAATTCTATATTCTTCAAATACTTATCAACAATGATTCATTGAAATAATTTAATTCGTGACTTCACTTAGTTAAATACATTATTTATATTGCTATATAAATCAAGAATAAAGATTAAAAATAAATAAAATATTTAGACTTGAATTTATAGAAATTTAAATGAGATATATAATTTATTATTAATAGTGAAGTGATAAAACTCAAATATCAAGTTTCTTTAAGTTTTAAGTATTTTTAATTCTTAACTTAATACTTCTTATTAATTATAATAATTAAGTAGATATATTCAAATAATTTATATTTACTGTCTCACAAATTTTTCATATGTATTTATATAGATACTCAAATTATATTGTGTTTCAGAATAATTTATATATAATATAGTTTAAAAAAGTCTCTATCGAAAAACTATGATTAGATATCATTCCTATTTTCTTGAAAGAGAAAATAAATGGCTATGTTATGATAATTGATTAAATTTATTTATTTCAAAGAGGAGAATAGATTAATAAATTTTAATCTTAAATTTTAATAATTCTATAAAGTTTTCAGAAAATATAATTTCTAATCTCTGATAAAAATCACTCTTTTTAATCAATATTTATTTTTTACTATAATTTGAATATAAAATAGAAAATGAATATATTTAATGAATTTCAATGATTTTTGTCTTCATTTATGTAGGATAGTTTATTTAATCTTATTAAATCCAATTAGAGTATAACTATTTGCAAAAATATATTAATAATTTTAAATGATCATCATCTTGAATAGATATTATGATAGCCGTCATCTTGAATAATATTACGATATAATAATGATAAACATTAAGGATATTTAATTAATGTGAGTTGGATTATTTTCTATATTATAAAATTACGTCATGAAGAAAATTCTTTTGATAAGTCTTGTCATAGTACTGTCATACTAGACAGTAGAATATAATACATATGATGAAGCATTTGCAAAACACTTGTTTTATTTGACATCAGCAAGTTATTGCGGTGAGTAACACATTAGGAATTGGAACTGTGGTAAACCTTGCAAAGAACTTAAACCAATCACTGATATTACATTTTTTATCAATGCAACAAATGAGAATGCAGGATATGGTGCATATCATCCTGAAACTGATGAAATCTATTTAGTCTTTAGAGGAACCTTACCATGGAGTCTCACTAATTGGGTAGAAGATATTGACTTTATAAAGACAGATTATCCTTATTGTCCAAATAATTGTTAAGTTCATAGGTATTCTAAAATTTTATTAATATCATTTTAGAGGTTTCTATTATTCATTTCTGGGAATTTAAGATTAAGTATTGAATTCATTGAAATCTTTAACCAAGAAATACCCACTTGCCAAGATAACCATTACTGGGCATAGTTTGGGTGGAGCTTTAGCAAATCATGCTCTTGTGTATTTGACAACAGTATTATACAAAATTTATATTAGAGAGGCTTTACTATAAGTAAATTCTATACTTTTGGATCACCAAGAGTAGGTGATAAGAACTTTTTTACATATGTTAACCAACAATTGTTTCCTGGACCTAAATATAGAATTACTCATAATCATGATCCAGTTCCTCATCTTCCAGCTCTTATTTAAGGATTCCATCATGTGAATTAAGAGGCTTATTATAAAGATTATTTATTAGTCATCCATAAAAAGTAATTAATTATTAAATTGTAGAGTTTAATTATGTAATGATAATCTCAAAGAAGATGATAGTTGTTCTAATTCTAACGTAGCTGATTTAGCAGTATCAGATCATACTAATTACATGGGTTATGATATGACATTAGAATTACTCACTTGTTAGTGATTTAATTTACATTTTATAGAATAAATTTAAAATTTAATAATTTGATTTAAATTAAATCTAAAACTACACAATACAATTTTTAAGATCTCAGAAACATAATTATAAAAACTTTAAGAATAATTCATTCTATTTAATTTTAATAATATATCTTTTGATATTTAAATTATTTGTACTATATAGTTTCTTACTTATTGTTTTTATATATTGGATATAATTTATTGTTAAGACAAAATGGATAGATGATCATTACTTATAAGAAAAGTTGGAAAAAAATAGTATAATTTATGTAAGAACTTATTATAAATTTAATAACAAAAACACTAAAATTAGTTTACTTTTAGAAAATTAGATTAATAAATTATTAGTTAGAGATTTATTGAACAATAAAAAGTTGTTTAAAATTATAATTAATTTATATTTAGTTCTTTTTAATAAGTTTCAGTATTTTTGTGAAAAAGCAGAATGAACAAAGTTTGATATTTCCATTCTTGAATTTTCAGTATTTATCTTAGATATTTTGGCTGATTGTATTTATTTGTTATCCCATTCTAATTTTTTATTAATTAATTATTCACTAACTTAAATATTTAAATCTCTTTAATCAAATATTTCTTCTTATTATTTACAATTATGTAATTATTCTATTAAACTTTATTCAACTTCTCTTAATTATTAAACTTATTTGCTCAAATTGAATTCTATATTTTTAATTGATAATTCATGTTAAATAATAGTCTATAAACCTGAATTCAATTTATCAATTTATTAATGATAATAATCTTAAATAATAATATATATAAATTTACTTTCCTTCTAATTAACATTTTATAATTAATATTTAAGTTTATCAACATATTATTCAGCTTCTCTTAATTTTTAATCAATAATAAATTCTTTCTCTTATAAACATTTTTCTCTAATTTTCAATTTATTTTTTTCAACTTCTATTATATTTTATTATTCCTCTAATTATTTCATACTAATCTATAATTATTATTCCCTTTCTTTCATTTTCTCTTCCTATAACTAAACTTTCTCTCTGAAATTCTATTCTTATTCTCCTAAAATATTTAGTTTCTCCTTTATTTATGATGCCAAAATTCGTATTTCTTTCTCTCCTTTACTTAATTTCTTAATATAAAGTATATATACATTTGCTCTTTCTTCTATTGATTTATGTTCTTCTTCCATACCTTACTTTGTTCTATCTAACTCTTCACATTTCCATTTGTATTTTTCTTTAATTCTAACCAATTCTAATTAATTCGGATCATTTGTCACTATATCAGGAATAGTCAATTAATATTAAGTTGCAAATCTAACACCTAATTTCTTTTCTTAAGTAAGATCTGGATTTGTTTGTCTTTAACTTAAAAATGATGTTTTATGCAAGCATTGACCTAGTGATTTTCTCATAATATTTAACAGATCAATAAATTAAAAAATTAATATTACTACATATCTGGAATTCTTATGATCTTATTACAAAATATATAAAAAAATAAAAAGAAATTAATAAATTATATAAAGATATCTCTAGTTTCATTTATACTATAAAATAAAACAATAAAGATTATGATTCTTATTAGAATTAGAATTTAATAATTTAAACTATTGTTATTTAAAATTTCAGTTGCTTATTAAACTATTGAAGTTTATCAATATAAATTTATTCTGTTTGTTATTTTTATATATGTCTATGTTAAGGTCTTTATTTGAATAAACTTTTTTATATATATTTTTGTAAATATAAACTTAAATACTTTCTATAATCAATTTGATTATCAATTATTATATGAAATCTTTTTTTATGTTTTTATTTATGATCCTTTTCTCTGAAAACATAATATAGTATTGATTCAATTAAATAAAAGTATACGCAGTACAAAATATCGATTTTGATGAGATGTACTAAATAAATTTGTTATATTTTGAAATTTTCTTAATTCACAATATAATTTATTCATTTCTTAAAGAGTATAGTATCTGTAACTTAAATCTAACAAGAAGTATATTAGTATTTTACTAATTATATTCATAAATTCTTAATAAATAGAAGGTAGGTTTAATGAGTGATATGATATTAGATAACTCCAACAAAAAACCTTTATTTCTTAATTATAAAATTCATTATTTTTCTTTTTTAAGTTTATGTCTTTAACCGAATTGGTTAATACTTATGATACAAGAGACTCTCGACATTAATCAAAAAAGCCAATCCTGAAATCTTCTTAATAGAAATTATATTAAACTATTCCAAGATTGGACTGGGCTGGAAATGAAATAATTAAAGGAGGATCACACAAAATTGCTTTTATTAGTTAATAGAACACATCTAGAACATTCTTAGACCTTCTCTCAAACGAATTATCTATTTAGAGTGATGAAGTTGATGAAGATTATAATGAAATGTTAAACTGTTAAACTGTGAAGAATGTAAGTAAACCACAACCAGAACTAAGTGAATAGTCTAATTGTTGTTTTATTTATTGACTTTATTATTGTATTGAGTATTTATTATATTGATATAAAACTATATAAAAGTAAAGTAAAAGTTGACTTAATACATAATTATATACAAAATACATTCTATACAATTCCTTTTATTTTAGTCAATCCTTAAGCGTTATATTAGTTTATTACTAAAATTCAATATATAGTTAACAAATAAACTGAATTTAATATAATATTAATTTTCTGATATTATAAGTATCCTCATTATTAGTCAACAACAATTTAAAATCATTAAAAGACACTAATACTTACAGATTATTTCATTCTCACCTTTACATGAAACCTTTAAATATTAAGTTATCAATTTAATTATAGAGTCATTTATATTTTTTAATCATCATATATAAATTGATGAAAAATTAATTATTTAGTAAAAACTTAAAAATGGAAAAAATAAAAAGACTGGAGGAATACTATAAAATTAACATTAATTAATGATATATATATATTAGAAAGAATGTATTTATTTAAAATTTTTAAGACAAATAAATTTTATTTTTCTAAATTAATATCAAACTCTTCATAATTAATAACATATTAAATGAATTAATTTCATTAATAATTCATATTAATTCCATACTTTTTTAGTTTTACTTTAATTTATAAATATTGTATTTATATTATTCAATTTTTAAAACATATAATAATAAATCATCAATTATACAAATTTATTTTTATATATTAATATTTAGATAAATAGAAGTATATAAAATGATTTCTTTGTTTAATTTTCAGTTTTAGTTAATGTAATGAAAATATACTACTATCAAATAGAATAATTTATTGCTTTCATTTCTTAAATCATTTAGGATTAACATATATTTCACTTATAATTTAGGTTATTTATTAAAAAATTATAATAATATAATAATATTCAATTTGGCTTGTTTTATTTGTATATTTTTTAAAGCTAATGTTTAATTAGATATAATCTTTTACTAATTGATTCATTTTTAACAATATCTTCACCAAGAGCAATTTCTTCAGTTTAAAAAGACATAAATGATTTTTTATTCATTTTTTTGAGAGTTAATAATTTTTATGAATCAAATTGAAAAAATTTTTAATTTTGAGATTTAGTTTCATTTTAAGGAATATATTATATTAATTCTTAAATTTTGCTACTATCAGTTTCCTAAAATTTGAAGTTATATTAGATTGATTCCATTTCTTAACAAAGATTACTTTTTCTTTTAGAACTTTTTGTTTATAAATCTTTTAATGCCATAAACTAATATGCCAAAGAAGAAAATAAATCTGCATTTTTTTTGGTTTATGTTTTAAATGCCATTTTAAATATTTCTGAATTTAAATTATTACCCATTTTTATAACATGTTCATTGATTACTTTAATTAATTTTAATAATGGTTATGAAATACACCTAATTAAACTAGCAGTGACCATTAATAAAAATGAACAACAAGCAATCTATATTTATATTTATTAAATTAATTCTGATTCTAAATTATCTATAAGAATAGTTATCTCATCTGCTATTTCCTATTCGTATGTAACATTCTTAAAACTTAAAATATATATATATAAATTTAATTACACTATCATTGTTAAATTTTCTTTAATAAATTAATATGTATAGACAAATACTGATCTTTGATAGATTTTATTCATCAAATAAAATGTACTATTTTCATTTTAATTATCTTTAGAATTATCTTAAATAGTCTGCCAATCTGTTTCATTAAATCCAGTATAAGTAGTATTAGTAATTCTAACTAAATCAGTTATTTAATGAAATGTATCCATAGTACTTAAAATTACATCACCATTTTAATGTACTAATAAGATATTTAATGGAATATTTTAGATATTAGTATCTGATATAGGTAGTATTTATAATGCAATTCCAATCATCGAATTATTTGTTACTAGTGAATATGTCAATGCAGAATAAGGTAAGTTATTACGAGCAGATAATAATATGGGTGAATAAAAGTAACTAGAATTTGGATGTATTTTAGATTAAGTCATATGATTGATATACCTTAAGATTATTTTAATAATTACCAAGGTCGAGTGTACAAATTAAAATTCTTAAATTTGAAAGAATTGGGGAAAGATCCAAAAAATTAAGTCTTAGGTATATCAAAATATGAAATTTTAGAGTCTTCATTAGCAATAAATAATTAAGAAAATGGACTAAGTAAAGTCAAAGTATCATTAAAATCTTGTCCCTAATCATTAGATTTTACTATTTCAAATCCTTGGCAGATATTATCTGAATTATAAATTACTTTGTATTCATTTATCTAATTTTACTCAATACATTCTTAAAACTAACTTTAAATTACTTTATATCGATTTCTTGACTAAGTTACATATTGAAAAAAATCATTTGAATGCTATAAATTTGATAATGCTATATAAATTATTCAAAATACTTTGAGAATTTTTATGCTATATATATTATCTAAGTTATTAAGAGATGATTTAAACTAAATGTTTCTCTTGTTTCTATGATAAAGTCTAAGAAAATGTTTTAATAAAAGTAAAAAAGATTGCTGATTGAACTTAATATGTAGCTAATATCACTAGCACAGTGAATGTGACTATGCAAAAGTTAATAAGAATGATCTAGCTACTCATTCTAAGAGATTTGAAGTAATTTTTAACTTTCTAAAACATTCACAAATATTATTATATATCATGATTAAATATATGTGTTAATTATCAAATAAACATTGTTGAACATATTCAATTTATATATTACTTAAATGAAGTATTACTTTTCAATAATCATAAGTTTCTGTTTAAGATGGCTAAATTTATTGCTTAACAGAAACATTTGAAAGTAACATAAGACTATTTTTCTTAGACTCCCTTCTTTTTGCAACTTCATTTAAAATTTAATCTTTATCAAGCTTTTTTAATCCTGATAAAGAGTTGTCTTCAATTAAATTAAAATTTACCTTCCTGTTTTTTTTAAATTTATGATTATTATTATTATTCTAATTTTTTCTTTTTCTCTTGTTCTTTTTATTCTGCTTATTTAATTTTAATAATATTTTATTTAGCTTATCTTAAAACAATTTTGTATTTATAAAATTTTTCAAAAAATTTATCAAAATTAACCTTTGATTCAGCATAATAATTTGAAAGATCTTCATATTAGTTTTCAAGTTATTTTAATAAATTCTCAAAATCACCTATATCAGAAATGACTTGTTAATAAAAATTCTATAATTTTTCTTCAACCAAATCTTGGATAGGATGAGATACTTTAGATTTCATGGCTTTATCAACAATTTTTGAATTTTTTTTTAACTCACTTAAATCAGCATTCAATTAATTCAAAGGTGTTTTAGCTAAAAAGATATAATAATCAAATTACCAGCCAATTCAATGTCATCTATATTTTCATCAACTAAAACTAATTCTTACTATAGATCTTCCTCTGCTTTCTAAATAATAAACATTAATAAGTTTATTTTATTGTCTGTACTTTTAACATCAGCTAATTTCTCCATCATTTCAAATTTAAATCCATATGCTCCACCTCTAGCAGATTGACCATTCATATAATTTCCTGCAGCTAATGCATATTCCATGACTACTTTTGTACTCTTATCATTTTTTGTCTTCCCTATCAAATTTTAAAATATATTAATTTTAGATTGTATATCTTCAACTAATTCTTTGTAATTAAATTTAAATTTCAATGATAGTAATCTAAAAAATATTTTTAATTAACAACCTAAAATCATAACCCTTTACTGAACTAATATTTATACAAAAAATATCTGGTAATGCTAAGTTTGATTAATCTTAATCCTACCACAATCCAACTTCTGTATCATTTGGCATTGCTGTAATTAAGGATTCAACTATATTTGGTCTTAATACAGTTTCATCAAGTCTTAAAATTTCGTTTAATATAATTACTGATAAAGACTATCAACTATTAATTAATTTGACATTTTAAGTTTGCCTAACACAATTTCTAAATTTTTTATTCTCTCAGGTCCTAACATTGAAATTTTAGCTGTCTTCTAAGCTTAATTTATTCCACTTTAAGTATTTATATTACTTGATGTTGGTTTCACTGCAAACAAATTTTCAATAATCGAGTAATCTAATTTTAATTTAGTATCATCAATTTATTCCCAAATTGTATTTTTAATTTATTCTGGTTTGATAATTGTCCAAGGAACTTATTTAAGCTATACATTAGGTTTATGTTTTTATTTTCCTCCAAATTAAGGATCTGGTCCACCAGGTGGTCTAGGTCCAGGAGGAGGTGGAGGAGCTCCTCCAAGTGGAGGAGGAGGTCCTGGTGGTTTTGGCCCTCCAGGAGGAGGAGGAGGAGGAGGTGGTGTAGATACAGTCTTAACACCAGGAGGAGGTGGTGGAGGTGGAGGGGCTGGCCCAGTTTAAGAATTTGAAGATATTGGAGGAGTAAGGGGATTTATTTAATTTGTACTAGGTAATGTTGGATTTGGTGATTAAAATGTATTATTTGATTAAATGGAATTTTATGTGATTAATTATTAGTTTTGCAATTTCTTTTCTAAATTATCTTTTTCTTATTATAATTGTTAAAGTTTTTCTTGTAGAATTTATGTATTGATTGATTGTTCTAAAGAATAGTATTTTAAACATACTTTTGTATTCATCTTCAATTTTATTATTTTTATTCTCCAATACTTTTTGATTTTCTCTCATTTCATCAAATTTTTATGTTTATTTTTTTTATTATTCTAAATAAAAGGCTTATTCTTCTATAAGTCCATTTAATCTTATAACCTCATCTTAATACTATTCAATTGTTTTAAGTTCGCTTTAAATTTTGGTTGCTTATGTTTTTACATAATTTACAGATTATACTTTTTCTCTTAATTATTATAATTCTATCTTTTTAGCATATTTTTTTTTAATTAATTTTTCATTTGTTGTTTATAATTCTCTACATTCTTTATTTTTTTCTGTCAATTATATTTCTTTAGTTAATAAATTTTAATTTTGTTCTTTTAACAATTTTTAAAATTCTATAATTAAAAATAAATAAAATTACTTTTATTTTCATTTTCTTAATTTATAAATTTCTAATTTTATTATTGTAATTCTTATTTGAGTTAGTCTAATTATTGTCTCAAATCATCTTAATTATCTGATTTGTGAGATAATCTTTATGGTGGAATTTCAAATTCCATTTTTTGAGCTTTTGCTAATTACATAATTGATAATTTTTCTCTTAATTAATTGACTTCATTTTCTAATTGTTGAATTGTCTTCTATTATGATTCATTTTCTTATTGAAGTGCTCTAAAGTCTTTATTTTTTGAAGCTAATTATTCATTTAATTGAGATAAAATAGATTAATCTGATTTCATTTTTTTTTCTAAATCTCCTATTTTTCTTTATAAAACATCAACAAAAGATTCATTTGATTATTTTTTTTAATTTAAATCTTTAATTTCATATTCTAAACTAATAATTTTTTCATGTAAATCTTCAATTAATTATTTCATAGATTCAAATTACGAAATTTCATGATTTTCATTTTCTTTTTAAATTGGCAAATGAAGTTTATCTATATATTTAGATATACCTTCTGCAAAATCAGTAACAATTTAAGTACCTCTAATTTTGGATTCATGTTTAATATTTTCAACAGCTCTTTAAAGATTAGTTAAATTAGCTTTACCCATTTCATCTTATATTAAATTCAAATATTAAGGTGTAAGAAAAGTAGTTTTTAAATGTTTTGCATGTTATTTTATTTCTTATTTTTTTGGTTCTTATATTTATTAAATATGTATATCTTTATTATTCTCTAAAAATGCCTCAATTTATCCTTCAATAATTTTTATTGAATTTGAAAACTCTCCTATATCATATATCTTTCTTGATTCTCTTTGATAAAGCATAGGTAATGTAATTTCTTCTATATAATTTGGATCTGTGAAAATTTAATGTTTTTATTTATTTTATTCAATAATCTATTATAAAACAACTTCAAATCTTAATTCATCTGCTTTATATTCAAATTCTTCTATATTATTTGTAATCATTTTATATATATCAACAATACCTGATTTGATAAATTATTGACACATTCTTTTTCTTTCCTCTTCTTATGTTGGAGATTCTGTTAGAGTTACTATAAATGCACATATTGTTGCAATCATAACAGCATTTTTACTCTTTTATAAAGTATTTATAAAAAAGATAATTTCATTGTCTTCATACAATTTATTTAAACTTTTTAATACCCAATTATATCCTTCATCTGTATGCCAACATAAATGAGATGCAATTTCTAATACTATTGTTGTTAATTCAACATGAGTTGGATGTAAATTTTTTAATATAATATCCATTGAATCTGGGATAAGCAACATTTACTATTAATTTTTTTCTATTTTTACTAAGATTTCAAGTATATTTAATATTTCAATTTAGTATAAATAACAAGGAGGTTTCTTTTTTTCAATAATTTATTATGTTTGTTAGTAAAATCTAAATAAGTTTTCTATTAGTAAATTTATTACATTATTAAATTGTTCTAATTAATCCTATTAATTATGAATCTATAGGTTTTTGAGATATCTTCTTATCTATTCTAAATCTTATAAAGTAGGGTTTATTAATTTTTAAGTAAAATAGTTTATTTCATCATTTGGTAAATTTTATAACAAATTCTTTCCTATAATATTTTTATACTCATTCAATATTAAGCATTTAAAGTCTAATTATATTATTTCATATTACTTTATGGTGTATTTTAGAATTATTAAAGAAGTTTTGGCTCTACTTTTAATTCTTTTATTAATTAAGATATCTAATGATCAAAATCCTTTGGTATTGTATTTTATTAAGTCTATAATTTCTTTTGATCCAACACAAATCTTATTGTTAACTATGATTCTTTTATCTATAAATCAATAGATATTGGAGATATCAATTTCCCATTTGAAATAGCATTACCCATTAAATTTAAATTTAATTTAATAATTCTAAATTTTTTATTGTAAAATTATAATTCTAAACTCTGAAATGATTATAATTTAAAATCATTTGAAAACCAGATTATAAATATATCTTAATAATGGTTCTAGAATTGGAAATAATATTCGTTAATGTTATGATGTTAAATAATAAAAAATAGTTTATATTAATAAGTATAAATATAAAATGGGAATCTGTTTGAATAAACAATTTATAGATGATTATGAAAAATTGTTTTCAGATCATCCTGAATCATATAAAGCAATTCAATTATATCCTGCATTTTCTCATGTTAAAATGTATGTAAAATTGAAGTAATAGAGTTCACAATGATTGGTATCGATTAGCTAAAGTAGAGTTTAAAGGCTTACCTCATGAAACAGAAGCCTTTTTAAAGAAATGGAGATCAAGAGAATAACATCCTCATCTATTCTTAATTCATAAAATTATCACAGACGAAACTAGTCGTACTGTCATTTATATGGATTTCCCAGAATCTACAGTAACTGAAATCGATGAAGAAACATTACTACCACTTTTAGATGCAGTGTTATAAATAATGTCAAAATGGTAAAAATAAAGTAAGACATATTCTTACTTTGGATGTGATTCTGTTTATAAAGTAATTCCAAATATGCAAATTAATAGGTAAGATCCTTTGATGGAAAAATCTACTATAAAATATTGGATCCAATGCTTCATCCATATCTTATTATGTTCTATAGAAAGTGTTGGTTATAAAAGAACACAAAATAAATAGCATAATTGTTAACCAAATTTTATTTGTCTCCCATATAATTAGATGCTTTGAGTAATAAAGTAGAATATCCTATTCATAATTTTTATAAATCAGATGTATTTTGTTTTGGATTATTTATTTATAAATGTTTAACACAAGATGATGATTTTTATGATATAAATAATTATAGAGTAAAATTGGATAAAATTAAAAATAATATCTAAGATCTGACATTATAGAACTATGCAAAAATGATTTTATTAAATATGCTTGAAGAAAACGAAGAGGATAGACCAGATTTCATCTAACTTGATCTTAAATTTTCACATTTTGCACCAGAACTCAAATATTCAAGAGTGTTCTATAATATTAATTAAATGATTTTTGAAGAATCTTTATTACAAATAACTTAATTAGTAACAGAGTAAAATAATGAATAAATTATTCCTGAAGAAATATAGGGATTTAATTTTGATGATGGACTTGATTTTGATAATTTACACTTTTCAATTACATCTAATACCAATCCTACAGGTGAAATTCATAAAATGATTGGAAAAGGATTTCATTCATAAATGATATTGAATAATAATAGATAATAAAACATTGAATAAGATGAAGGAGTTAAAAGAAAAACAAGAATAGATTTACCTTGTTTAGGATATGCTGATTTAAGTAATTGGAAAACTGCTGAAGGTATGTTTACAAAAGGAATGTTATAAGGATATGGTAGATTGACATTTTCTAATGGAGATAAATTTGAAGGTTTCTTTATTAATAACAGAGCTAATGGAAAAGGTACTTATACTTTTCATGATAATCAATACCATAAAAAAGAAGGTACCTGGAAAGATAATAAATTTATTATCACAATTTGATAATCTTTTGAAAGAAATAATATTATTATTATGTTTATAATATATTTATTTTCAGTAGTAAATGCTTATTTCTCTAAAAAACTTGCACATGATTTATATTTGTATACTAAAATAGCTGTTTGTGACACTCAATAAATAAAAGAATGGAATTGTGGATATTTTTGTGATTAACATCCTGATATGGATTCAATAAAAGTGATTGAAAGTGATAAACATGGTGTTCTATCTTATGTAGGAATTAATTAGGCTGAAAATAGAATTATAGTTACATTTCGAAGTACACTTATCAAAAACTTTAGGTACTTAAAATTTACTTAATTTCATTAATGATTTGAAATTTATGAAATAAGATTATCCTTGTTCTGATTGCAAAGTACATTCAGGTTTTATGGAGAGTTATTTAGATATAAAAGATGATTTATTAAAATAAGTGAATGATTTGTCTATACAAAATCCAAATGCATAATTAACAATAACGGGTCATTCACTTGGTGCAGCTTTGGCTACTTTAGCAGCAATTGATCTAACAAATATTGGATTATATATTCATACATTTTATATATTTGGGTATAGATTAATTCATATTCAATATTTTAGATCGCCTAGAGTTGGAAACAAAGCTTTTGCAGAATATTTTAGTAAGAAAATAACAACTAAAGATAAAGCAAGAGTAACTCACTTTAGTGATTTAGTTCCTCATTTACCACCATAATCATTAGATTATATACATGCTGTTCCAGAATATTGGTTTAATTAGGATTTTAAAGAATATTAATAATGTGAATATTCAAAATTTGAAGATGAAAAATGTTCAAATTCTATGTGGAGTCATTCTATTAGAGATCATCGAGATTATTTTAATATCAAATATCGATGCAATGATAGTTTTTATTAAAAGAAAACTAAAGAATAAATTATTCTCTGAATATTAGTATTTATTTTAAAAAATAATATTAATAAGTATATATTAGTTATTCTTTTTTAATAAGAATTTAATTTTTAGAAAATCATAGAATGTATTAAAAATTTTAGATTAATTAAAATATTAGACTGCATAAATTCTATAATCACTTTTCATTATTCACCATGATCTAATACAAAATCAAATTTATCAATTCTTTAAACACTTTCATTATGCAATTTGTATATATATTATTCATCATTATTTTCATCTTATTACCTTTATTAAGCAATATTACCTGTAGAAATTGATTTAATTATCACTTAAGTTTTCATTTTTCTATTCATTTTTCTTTTTTCAAGAAGTTCATCTTAAAAATTAAGAGATTCTGTAATTTATTTTTCAATATTTTGTTATACTTTATCATATTCTTATAGTAATTGATTCATATTGTGAGTTTGATTTAGTTCATTATTTTATAATTCTTATTAAATCTTCATTTCATTAGCTTAAGCTTTTTTATAAACACTAAATCTCATCTTCCCTTAAACTTTAGAACTTTATTCAGGTATAGTGAGCACATTCTGTTTCTTTAATAATTATATTGTCTCAGGTCTGCTAATTAAAAATTATATTTTTTCAAGGAAATACTCTCTCATAGCACACTTCTAATTATCAAATATTTAAACAAAATCTTAGTAAATTTCTAACATTTAATTAACATGATCTAAATTATATAGTTTTTCATGAAATCTAGCTTCTAGTTATAATAAAATTTTTAAAGTATTATTATCTATTACCATTTTATTTGTAAAAATAATATTTATATTATTTCTATTGTTCTACAAACTTAAATAAAATATACATTAAACATTTCTAATAATAATCCATTTTATATCAATTAACCAATTAACTTAATAACATTATCTAATTAATCACTTTAAACTAAAGTATATTCTAATTAATTTATTTATACATTATTTGTAAAATATTAAATTTCAATAACTCTATTACTATCAATTTTATATCATTTTAATCCAAAATATTAAAGATTATTCAAATAAGTCTATAATTTTTATATATATTTGATACAATGTAGATGTACAATTTGAAAATCCACTATTATAATCAATAATTTGATGAATTAAATTGGTAGATGTAAATGAAGGATTTATATATTAAATACATAAAAATATCAACCAAAAACTTCTAAGTCAGAATAAGTGATGTATAAAAACCCATCTTCTGGGTCTTTTTTCTTCTCGTATATATCTATTAATTTTACATCTAATTAAGAATTAAATTAATAATACCTTCAGGAAGAAGTTGATTACCAATATGAAAATATAAGGATTGCTTAGGAGATATTTATAAAGTGTTTTTTAAGGTATCTCTAAACTAAATCATACGAAAACCTTTTGTTACTAAATATCAATATGATAAAGATCTCACATACAATGATTTGTTTAATTATGGCATTTTAGATTTTGGATGTTTCTCCAAAATGACAGGAATCATTTCAGGATGTTGATTTAATTTTTATTTACATTTTGTTTGTCTCTCTTCTAAATTATTCAATTCCTTAAATGATTTAAAATTATTCTATGCTTAAAACATAATTGTTCTTTTTTTTAATAAATTAATTAATTTTTTTAATAGTCAATTGAATATTATGAAATATACAATAATGAATATTATCATGAATTTATTTCTTCAATTACATTAATTGATTTTAGATAATTAATTTACTCTAAACTTAATTAATATCTTTAACCATTTTAATCTAAGACATAAGCACCATTTGATATTAGATATCCTTAACTATCCAATTCATATTATTAAATCTATTAATAATCACTTCTTGAATCATCAAGAGTCTTTTCTGATATAGCAGACATTTGGCATATATCTATCATATATTATAATTAATTTACATTTATTATTAATTTATTATTTTAATGGACTTGTAGTGTTAATTTGATTAAGTTCTGGTTTAATTTCTGCAACCATTTATTCAACTATATTAATATTATTTGATGATATTGTTTAACTAAGATAAGATGAAACTTCTTCATTAAATTATTAAAATCTCTTTATATCTTAACTTATAGGTGTAGTAATTGATTATTTTTGTATTCCTTAAATAATTTCTGTAATTTTATCTAATTAATTCTATATTTTAATTTCTGTCTTATTTGTAGTTTCTAATATATTCTTTTTTAATTTTTCCATCAAAGATTATGTTTAAATTTGTGTTTTCTATTCTTAATTTATTATTAATAATTGTATTTCTCCCATTTTCAATTCTAATTGTTTAATTTTATCTTTCATTTAAACATCATTATTTAATTATCCAATTCCAGAATCATATAATTATTTTACACTCTATTCATTACAATTCATTCGATCATTTAAAGATTTTATTTAAATTTGAAATTGTTCGTTTAATGTATTTTATTCATATTGCAATTAGATTACTTATAATTTTAATTTATCAAAGATTTATTCATAAGGTTTTTATGAATCAAAACTATCCTATGTTTTAGCAGAAGGTAAATTCTTGTTTATTATTTTCAGATATATTACATTTACAAATCTAATTTAACTACATGAATTGTGTTTCATAGGTGCTCTATTTTCTTTACCAACTGATTGTTAACGGATTTCAGATGGATAATAAGTTGGAACAATTGGTTTCATGGTTCTTGCATAATTAATTGGACCTGAATTCATTTTTATATTATAATTAACGAATAGGTGATAAATGATTTAAAAATATTCAAAATGTAAATGAACAAATTTATTTTAAGAATTTCAACTTATATTAAGAATTCTTTCATTCTATTCATTAATCTCTAATTATGATTAAGAATAGAATCATCATTTATATAATAATTTAATAATGAATAAAATTAAGAATAAGTTGCGAATAAGAACTCAACAATCAAATACACCTACTCAGAATATTGATAGAAATTCTATTATGTAAAGATGTTCAACTTCAATTCATAATTCTATGTAATATTTAATTCAGAATTTGATAGAGATGTTTATAGAAAAACTCATGCTATGACAATACATATCTCAAATCCAGAAAAATCATTCTCATTTTAATCATAATAATCAGAAAGAAATGATACAAATAGAAGGGCAACTTCTAATATTGTCAATCCTATTTAAAAATAGAATACATTTTAATAGTTTTCTTATATTACACAAATAATGTTGCCAGATTATGAGAAAAATATCAATACTATTTCAATAATAGAGTAAAATAGATATAATTTATACCAGAAACAAAGCCTATTAAATTTAACCTGAAAAATAAGATGATCAAAAATAAAAGAAAAATCTTGATTATGGAGAAAGATGGATTAATTATAATTTTGAAAATGTATAAATTAAAATCATATAATATTAATAGCATCCAATTGAATTATAATCTTATGTTATTAATATATAAAAAGTGAGATAATAAGAATTCTATTATTATAAAATTAGTTGTTAAGGTTAAACTTCACCTTTAAAATTTTCTATTAATTAATCTGAAGCTACTAAATTTAAGATATTTTTATCAACAACTAATCCATATCCATCAAAATTTTCATGTGAATAAATCTTCTAAGTCAAAACCTGGAAATATGATTGCAAGGATTCTCAATTATTTTAATAAGCTTTTATTTATATTTCCATGGTTTTCGCTTTAGAAAGCATCATAAAAATCTCATTTTCATTTGGTACTAATAAAGGAATGTATAACACATAATGGAAAAGCCCATAAACTAAATAAACATAAATCAAATAAAATTTATCTGCTTCTTCTTATTTTATTAATTAAAGAAAAATAAATCAATTATAAAAAGGAAGAAATTTAATTTAAGGTAATATCTTAAATGTAAGTATATAAAATGATGAAGATTATAAGTCTTAAAAATTATTATAAAGAACTATACAAGAGAAAAAATATAATTAAGTAATTAATAAGAGAAAATAATTTGAAATAAATACTTAAGGTTAAAAATAAATTAATTATTTTACAAAAGAAATTAGTTATTTATTAAAGAAAATTAAATAAAAGAAATAATAAAAATATTTAGATTAAAATGGACACTTAAAATAAAAGATCTAATTTGAGATTTTTAGATTGTTTGCTTACCTATAATGTTTAAGTTTAATTTATGAAAAACTAACACATTAACGTTAAATTTTATATAATTTTTAAAAGATTCAGGCCAAAATAACAACTATATATTTTAGAACCAAAAGAAATATTTGTAAAATGAAAGGCTACACTTTATTTGGAAGAGTTCATTTTGATGTCAAATTGTAATGATATTTATTTCAATATAAAGATGTCTACAAATGTTTACGAAATAGATATAAAAGAAAGCTCGAATCTAAAGTATAAATCTCATTTAATCTATTTTAACAAAAAGATCATTCTTATGGAATTTTCAAAAATAAATTCATCAAACTTCAAAATAATTATAATATATTAAATAGTCTATATATAACTTTATAATAAGATATAGAATTTATAGATCTTTTTTAAGGTAGATGTTTGAAAGACATTTCGATTAATAATGTTAAATATTCATAATAAATAAAGATCTTAAGATTTAATAATGTTTTGAATTTTGGCATCGAAAATCAAAATATTTGATGTATTATTAATATCTCAGTAAACAATTTGCTATTATTTATGGAAGATTGAATCTAAATAACTTTTATTCATTCTTACGAAAAAATAAATAAACTAAGTATCAATAAATAGGCTTTAATCTATTATAAGAATTTCATTTAACTTTATATAAAGTTCCATTATAATAAGACTTTTAGTAAATAATACCTATCTTATATTAATTAACATAAAATGAAGCATCTTAATATTGCAAGGATTCATTTAGGAAACCATTTAATAAATTATAATTTTGAATATTAATATTTATTTAAGTTTTTATAATAATATTTTAATAATAATAAGAAAAAATCAAATTATTTATGTAATTAATTTAGCAATAGACTTTTATGTATATCTTCTTGGTGATAATAGTAATAATGATGCTTAACAAGTGTCAATTGATTATTTCTACATTCTCATTAACATTCTTCCTAAAAAAGCTTTAATTATGAGTCCTAAAATCCCAATACTTAAAATGAAAATAATTAAAGTTTGCTAATATTTTGAGATCTGTATATCAAATTACTCTTATGCCATATCAACTATTGATGAATAAGCTGTAATAATTAGATCAGTTCCATAATCTAAATAGGCTATATGATCGGAAGTTTCTACGAAATTACTAAAATCAGTTAGACTATTATTAATTTAATTTCCTTAATAAAATTATGGATATTATTGAATAATTTTATAAACTTAAACAAATAAAGATTTAAGACCCTATTAATAATATGCTAAAATTTATTCATTATAAATTCCAACTAATGTTGATTGACAATCCAGAGCATATTGAGTGTTACAAATGCTTTGTTAATTCATAAATTCTATTTTTTAATTAATATTTTCGTCTGTTAATGAAACTATAATATTATTATCATACTGAAGAAAGAAGTCTTATTCAGTTCCTTGAAGAACTTAAGAGTAATTTAAAAATTCAGATTGTGATATTATATTATAATATAAGGATGAATTTGATAAAGATTTATATGCCACTAAATCAGCATTATTCAATACATTAATAAATGATGATTATAAAGTCTAATATTTAAAGAGTAATTCTAATCCTGATAATAATTAATCAGTCAATATAAAGATAATAAGAAATATCACCAAAAAGTATGACATTATCACTACTAAGTCTATAATTAATAGGATTATATATCTAATTTGTTGGATATTGGAACCTTTTAATTTTTTAATTAATTTATTTTTCTCTTATTTAGTTCTATTTTAATTATCAATATAATTAGTTGAAGCATTATCTGAAGAAAAACCATTTAAATATAATGGTTCAATATCAAATATTTTCCCTTCAACAATGAAATCTATCATCATCCAATCATAAACTGATTTTTTAAGAGTAGATGCAAGGGCATCAAAAGATTCTTATTCCTAAGCAAATTATAATTAATTAATATCTAATAATGCCATATAAAGTTTTTTTTTATATTTCCCTAATGTTGAAATCATAGGAATTTATGAGGATTATAAAATTAATACTAATAAAAATATAATTACCATAAAGATTATTAATAACTATTAATAATATCTTTCTTTATCAATTTTAGTATCATAACATGAATCAAAAGCCAATTAAGGAAGTTATCCAATTTCTTTTAAATTTGCCACACTAGATTATATAAATTGAATTTGTAATTCATAATCAGTTGTAACTTTATTTTCAACAACCTTATAAAATTGAGCTAAAGATTTTTAAATAGTTTCAGTAATGGATAAATTAAGTTTAGTACTATTGTCAATGTCATAAAATATAGATAATTAAATATCAATGTCATTTATAGTATTCTTTTGAGTATTACTAAAATTAATCAACTAATCAACTTCTTAGAATATTTATTTATCATAAAATACATGCAATTAATCAAAATTTGTTATATTAAAGTCATATGAATATTAAATTCGAAATAATCCATGTGTAATTAATGAATATGTTTTTTGAAATTTTAGTAATATTTATATTAAACTCATACAATCTCCATAATCATATTAATTCCAAACTGCAATAGAAACAAGTAAAATATAAACAATTACTAAGAGTAGAGTAGCAAATAGAATATAATTTTAAAATTTATATGAATTAGGGTATTAGAATTCGTTAATTTTTTAATTTATAGCTTTGTAATTTTCATCAAAATTCTTAAGTTAAATTAGATATGAATCCTCATTCTCTACTTTTTCTCTCTCTTTATCTTAATTACTTTAAATAACTTTTTATTCTAATTCATTGTAAAACTTTTGTTATCTACTTTTTTAAGATAATTTTAAAACAACTTTGCTTGCTGCTTCCTTCTCTGAAGCTTTTAGAAAATTGTTTTTACTCTATTATTCAAATTGATTTTCAGTTCCATTACTTTTAGCACTGTATATCCCATATTCAAGTAATTATAGACTTTTTCTATTTGTTAATAGTAATTTATTTTATTCTTCTTTAGCAGATGTAAGAATACATTAATCAGTAAGTATGTTTTGGTCACTAAAACAATATTCCTCTATTTTTGATGGGTGACTCAAAAATTTATATAAAGATATTTAATCATCTTGTTCAACTTTTTCACTAAAATTACCTTATAAACTCATAGAATCTTCTGAAATAACTTCAATTTAAGATTAATTTTAAGATTATTTTACATTAGTAGATCCTCTATTTAAATTTTCAGTTTTCTCTTACTTCATTTATGCTTACATTTACTTTAATGTATCTCTTAATTATTTACGATATCCTTTCTCCATACTTGCTAATTATTATTCATTTACAGTTAATTCAATAACAAACATTTAAACTTTATTTTCTATTTCATTTTTTTTATACCTAAATTCTTCATAATTAATAGAATAAATAACAGGAATAGGATTAAAATCTTAAGTTGTAATTCTTTATATATAATTCTAAAATTTATCATAATACATTTATTCTGCTCTAGTTTTTAATTATCCTTCACTTTCAGAAGATGAATCTACTTTTTCAGAATTCTAAATTGTAGTAGTCATTTAATTAAGATTAGACATTCTCATATCTTACCTTGAAAAATTGCCTAAAACTAATTATTAATGTTTCCTCAAGAATTCCTCAAAAAAGAAAGAACATAATTTCTCATTAAATACAGTAACCTATTATTTGGCATTAATTGATTCAGATTCAATATATTAAGCCCTTTTTCCACTTAATGAAAAGTTGGATGTCTAAATTTTCTCATCTTCATTAATCTTTCCTAAAACTTTGTTATATTATTAAACAAACAAATTAATATCTTCTGGTATAAACATATATGTCTCCTTGTTTGAAACTACTGTATTACTACTCTCAAGATCAATTGGATTTGGATACTTTCCTTTAGGAGGTATTTAACCATTCATTAAATATTCTATTCCTGTTTACTCTATTTCAGCAGTTATAAATGGAAATAACATCCAAATTAATACTTTTAAGTAAAAGTCCTCTATTGTTAGAGGCTAATTTGACCATTTAATTTCATAAACATCGAAACTAATATTAATAATATTTATAAATACACTTCAGAATCTGAATCTTCAGAAGATTCATCATTTTCAAAAGATTTTTATTTAACTTCATCTTATTTATTATTATTATTATTATTATTATCTTTAAGCTTTCTTTACATACGATCTATCATTTTATATAATCCTTATGTAATTCCCATTAAATTTCCATAAATATCAAATAAAACATGTTATTATCCTTTGAATATAAGATTTCTCAATCGTTTAGATTCATCTTTAGGATCTATTTCATCTTATTCTAATCTTTTCAAACATCCAATCATTGAAAAATCAGCTTCTAAATCTGGACTGAAATTATGAGCTAAATAAACTTAACATCTAATTAATGTTTGATCACATAATTTAGCAAATGTTTAAAAATATTTTCCAATTCTTTAAGTTGATCCTCTTCTAATATAATTTTGCATCATTTCATCATGTACACCTAAAAGCCAATTAGGCATGAGTGGATTTATATTACCTTTTGTATAATCTATAAATGAAGCCATATCTGCAAATCCAAAAAATCTAGGAATCAAAGGTGAAATAACTTTATTCCTAACCTTCCCAATATTTGGTCCAAATGCTATACATACTTTAACTGAAATGGCATCTCCTTTAAAGAAATTAATGTTAGTAATTTCAAAAGTACTCATACTTCTTTCATATGCTAAAATTTCCTTACAATCTAATTATTTTATTTTTATATTACCTTTTTCCATATCATAATATGCTCTAGCATTGTTATATAAAATCAATTAGATAAGAGCATCAAATTTTAAGAATTAAACATTATAGGTTCTACCATTAACAAAAAATATTGAACAATATCTATTATATTCTTTAGTTATTTATTATTGTAATATTTATAGTTATTACAATTATTTTTCTATTTCAATAAATGTTGCTATTTTCCCTTCCTAAATTTACTTCCAAAAACCAGATTTAAATTAACAGATCTAATAATTTTTACATATTTATTACTTAGATTAATAAAGGTAACATATTTTATTTGACTTATTCCATTTAATATAGATTTTATACTATACTTCTTTCACTTTTACTCACTTACAATTTCACATTTGATATTCTACTTCTAGATTCTGAATTTATGTTATAATCTTCATCCTTTTACATTTGAGCCTATATTATGAATTACAGAAATAAGCACATTTAAATAAAATAGAATGAATATTCTCTTTATTTTTAAAATAGAACTTTGAGTTCTTAATAAGTTTTAGGACCATTTCTTTTAAATTTATTGATGAAAGTTAAAAATTTCAATGATAGAACTTCAAAATCACCAATTCTTTTTTATACAGTAGATTTGTGTTTATCAAAACTTCTTTTAAACAAACATGATACAAAAATAACAGTTTAATCAAGTTTAATTATCTTTTCAAATCCAATTTTTTTACATTAACATTTATTTTATCTGCAATGAGAATGATGCATACAAAATTTAGTTATATATTCTATCTCTTTTTACTTACACTTTTAAGCTTCACCATTCAATTCAAACATATTTTCAATATACAATAATTCAAAATATTGATTTTGTTTTGATATTGTCTAATAAACAGTTTATCTTTTCATCTCTATTAAAGCTGATGTTAAATGCTATGAAACAGGTAACAATATTAAAAATATAACAATACATGAATATGAATTTATTGAAAATGCTTTCTAGATCGTTGTTATAAGATATACAATTGTGAATGTTGTTAATCCCTTATTATATAGTTTTGCATAAGCTGAAAATCTATTATGTTTAGAATTATATAGATTACCCAAAAGGATATTCAATGATTGCCTCTCCAATTAACATACAAATGAACAATCCAAAAATAATTTTGGATACCAATACAAATATAAATTAATTTCTTATTGACATAAAAATTAGAGGAATCAATAGTAATTAAGCTATTATATTGATGTAATTAAAGTATTTTCTTAAGCTTTACTAAAAGAATTCATAATTTATAAAATAGATATTTGAAATTAGTAGGCTACCCAAAGCAATCAATAAATTAATAATTGAAAGCAATAATAAGAATGGATCACTTACATTTAATAAGTTCCAACAAATATAGTAGAGTTGTGATACATAAAATAACCAAGTGAAATTTAGAAAATAGTTATTTATTATTATTGTGGTTAACTAAATAGGATACTAAATATGTACATCTAAAACACTTTTTGATATACTATCTACACTATTATGGCTTTTCATTATGAAGCGATATGTGATAATGATATAGGGAAGGCAATTAAGCACAGTTATTACAATGCCTATTAAAATGTTGATATCTTTGTTATTCATAAAGTATGGACATATCAAGCATATTTTTGTGAATGATTTTATCAGGCTAAAAACTTGCTCTTTTGAATCATCAATTAAAAATTATGATAATTACAGAAAATATACTGCTATTTGGAATTTCGCATAGCTGAAATTATTTATAGTAGGAGACAAATTGGTTTGAATTATCAAGCCTTGATATTACTTAAAGTATTCCCATTTCATATTTGGAAAATATAAATAATATAAAATTATAGCATATACAAAATTTTTGATTCAAAATTAACTTTAATAAAGTTAAACTAGTATTGAGTATTAGAATTTAACTAATTTATATAAATGTATGTTAAATATTGATTTCAATTAATTTCTGATATATAATCCTTTAAATAGTATTTGAATTTCTAATCAGTTTTCACTTTAATTGTTTAAAATTCAAAAACCATTTACATTATAGTAATAAGAAGATCAAATTTTAACAAAACCAATTCATTCATTTAAAACAAGATCAAATTTTATTTATTTATTTACTTCTAAAATAATAATTCAACTGTAACTATTTGAGTATGATTAACTATGATATTTTGATTAAAATATTATTTTTTAATTTAAAGATAATATAATTTTTAATCAATCATATTATATATGAATATTAGAAAATATAGTTTGTTAAAGGTCTTGAAGTACCCAAACTATTTTAGTATTAACCATGAATAAATATAAATAGTGTCATTTTAGAATGAATAACTATAACATTTATACATAAATATAGATAAACTACTATTGATCAAAATATGGATTAATTATCATATTTTTCCTTATGAAAAGTTTCAAAATATCCATAAATAATAGTTACTGCCAATAAGATTCCAGTTCCTAATATTTTAATAATAAAAATTACCTGATCCAATTGCTCCTAAAATATCAGCAACAATAGTCAATAATCCTATGCAAACTCCTCCACAAAAGGCTGCAACTGGAATGTAACCAGATAAATATTTGACCATAGATTCTTCTCTCAAACCTTTAATTTTAATCTTGGATAATCTATTAGTTATACTTATTCATCTTTAAACTTTCTAGCAACATCTTTAGCACTTTCTCCTGAAATTTGAATCCAAAATTTAGCAAAGAAACCACACATAAAAACAACAAATAATAGATAAACAATTGCATGAATTGGATCATTAATAATATCCTTAACATCTCTTAATGGTGACATATAATAAGCTAATCCTCCAATAGGTACTGATTAACCACCAAATTCTGCCTCTTACCATGTACCTAGTAATTTAACAAAGAAATTGGTTTTGAATCTTCTATAAAGTAATTATGAAAGGAAATAAACATTTTAAACAAGGGTACTTTGAATAATCATTGGAATATTTGAGGTATAAAACAATTTAATTCCATGAGATGACACTAATCCTCTAATTTTTTAACTTGCTAATGGAACTTCAACCCTGAAACCTTATAAGTATATGACCAATGCGATCACAAATAAAGTGGCTAATAAATTATTAAGATTTGGAGCTGATTCTCTAAAGAATGCATAATAAAGTGCTTAAACTAAAAGTATTAGATTAAAATATACGTGTATTTTATTTAGTGAATATCAAATGGAAGAAATTAATAATAGCACCTTCAAATTGAGTACCGGCTTCAGTAGACAATGTAATTGGTGAAAATGATTTCCAAAGTATGTTTTCACTTACATTTGTTGCAATAAACAATGAAATACCTGATCCCAAACCTAAAAGATTTAAATTTTTATATTATACCATATCCTTTTTAAAGCATTTCATCTAACATTGTAACAACAACACCAGCAAATGTTAATTATAACAAAATGAGAATAGCATTGCCTGCTCCAATTTGATTTATGTCACCATATGCACCAGACCATATGTAGGCCATTCCTTCGGCAATTGCCATAATAAAAGATAATACTAAAAATTGATATCAGAATTACATTTTTATGCTGCATTGAATAATACCTTATCTTCTCTTACAGAATGATTAACTTCAATAAATCCAACTCCACTAAGGAATTATAAAATCATTCCAGATGTTACAATTGGTGAAATACCCAATTCCATCAATGTACCTTTATTAGAAGCCAAGATTACTCTCATCCAATAGAAAGGATCAGATCCTAACATATTTATTTGAAAATATACCTGAAGTACGATACACACCATATAATGGTATTTAGCAACAAATCAAATAGATAAAGAGAGTAATTCCTGTAATGAGCACTTTGACCTTCAATGGTTGAGGAAATCTTGGCTCTTGTACTTCTGGAATGATAGAAAGTGCAGGTCTAAGCAAATGAAGAAGTCTCATAAATTAAAATAAAAAATTAACACGTATACTACTCAACAATTATCTCTTTAGCATATAATTCATTATAAATCTTTTCTTAATGGTCTATTACGATTTAATTGGCTTTTTAATTGTGCCTATATAGAGAATAATTGTTTCAGCTCTGCTTCTACTAATAATTTATTGATATTGTCACTTCTACTTAAATCAATAACCTTCAACTGTATTTTTTATTTAATATCTAACATTTGTATCCACAATTCTTATTAATTTTATCCCAAATATTGTATAATTTCAGAGATAGTTTTCTTTAATTCTAGATTTTATTCATTAATTAATTCAATTTGTTTCTTGTGGTATTTAATTACTTCATTTCTTTCCTTTAGAATATTTTCACAAAACTCTTGCCATTTTTAATTTATTTGTTTTCCTTAACGCTTTAAAGAAACTAATTAAGAGTATAAAAATACCTATCTTTTATTATAATTCCTCCTTATCAACATTATTATTATTACTAGTTTTATGGAAATTGCTTGCACTGTTGCTCATCTTACTCTATTTTAAAGTGTCACTAAACACACTTTTTGGAGTAGTTATTCTGAAAGGATTACAAGTAAGGTCTTAAATTTTACTTTATAAATCATAAATTATTTATATATTGTCTTAAATGTGGATCTAATAGATTTCTTCCTGATTTTTTTTTTATACATATTAGTTGATTAACTAAACCATCAAAACAACAATTTACATATTCTACTAAAAACTATACAATCATCTTTTTATTACTTTTATCCAAGTCATTTATCAACTCTGAAAGATTCTCTTTATAAATGAAATTCATCAATTATTCATAAAGTTCATCTTAATTATTTTATATTTGATTTATATCCTATCTTTAATCCATCACTATTTATAACTGACATGTCAATGTTTCAATCTCCTAAATATATTACTATTATTCTTCTTTTAATTGCATCTATTCCTTTTCATAATTCGCTTACAAATTCTCATATCCATTAATTTATCTCTCTAGTTCTAATATTTATTTCTATTATTAATCAACTGTCTCTAATTAAATACAATTATACATCTATTAGTTAAGCTTTATCATTATATAATTATTGACACATTTCAAACATTTTCTAATATGATTTCAACTTCTCCTCATCAAAATTTTATTATCGTTATTAACTCATTCCCTGAGTATCTTATTCCTGATTATCAATTCTTATTGGGTCCGTTTGCTTTATTGCAATTGGCATTTCATCACTAGATTAGTGAGTACTTCTAGGAGCAACATCAAATACAAAATTTGCTCTAATGTCTTTATATTGTTTACTCATATATAAATAAAATATATTTATAATTATAATTATATTTCTAAATCCCATATTTCTAAATTAATACTCAATAAATTAATTTTCTTTCATTTATCTTATCTTATTCATTTCTAAGTTTAAAAAATCAATAGTTTATTATTATTCCAAATATTTGGATTAAGATTATCCAAATTCAAAGTATATTTATTATAAATTAATTTTATTAATGATTTAACATTAGTTTTACTTAGAAAATATTTTATTTTCTTTAAATAAAAAAGATTTAACTAAATCTATTTAATTTTAACTGTTGATTTTAAAATCTTTTTAGCAATTATTTGCTTTTTAAAATCATTTATTATTTATATCAAACTTTCATCCTTATAGTTTCAGTTATTCAGATTATTTGAATTTAACCATATTTTAGTCTTTATTATCAATCTTTACAATTTTCTTGTATTTAATACGAAGAGATCAATATATTTTTATCTTTGAGTTGAATATGTATTCTTATCATTATTTTGTACATTATTTTTCGATTATTTATGCAATTTTCACAGAAATTATCATCTAATACAAATTATAAACATTTAATATATATGGAAATCCATATATATTAAATGTGAAAGATTTAATTTAGTAAATATAGAATTATCAAAGTGGAATAAATAATATTCAAATATTTAATTATCCCAATTTTAATGACTGAAACAATTGAGAATCTTCGTGATTTCAATTATTACTAACTTTCTCCAGATGTTAATAAAAAGTATGTACTAGCAGAATATATTTGGATTGATGGTACAGGAGAATAGTTAAGGGCAAAGACTAAGGTATTTTGCTTATCTATAAAAATTAAGGTTTATTTGAATCCTATAAAAACTTTAGAGGATTTAGAATGGTGGACTTATGATGGTTCATCTACTGATTAAGCAGTGACCAGATTTTCTGAAATTTATCTTAAACCTGTCCGAATGGTCAAGGATCCATTTAGAGGAGATCCACATCTATTAGTACTTTGTGAAACATATTTGCCTGATAAAAAGACTCCAGCTAGATTTAATTTTAGGTATTAAAATCATATATGTATAAGGTGGATTTCTAATTTAATTATGGAACAAGCTAAAGATTAAAAACCATGGTTTGGTATAGAATAAGAATATTTTTTATTAAAAAGAACAGGCACCACACATTTATGGCCTTTAGGTTGGCCAAATGGTGGGTTCCCATATCCATAAGGGAGATATTATTGTTCTATTGGAGAAAGAAATAATTTTGGTAGAGCATTAGCAGAGGCTCATCTTCGTGCATGCCTTAATGCAGGTATTAAAATAGCAGGATTGAATGCTGAAGTTGCACCATCATAGTGGGAATTTTAGATTGGAATTGCTGAGGGGATTGAAATTGGTGATCATATGTGGTTGGCAAGATATATATTGGAAAGAATAGGTGAAGAATTTGGAATTGATATAAATTATGATCCTAAACCTATTTTAGGAGATTGGAATGGAAGTGGAGCTCATTGCAATTACTCAACTTTAACTACTAGATAAGAGGGAGGATATCGATACATAGTTGATAAATTAATGCCAATTCTTAAAGAAAATCATATTGATATGATTAAGTTATATGGATAAAAAAATGAATTAAGATTAACAGGAAAACATGAAACAGGCAAATATGATGTATTTACATGGGGAGATGGCGCAAGAGGATGTTCTGTCAGAGTTCCCATAATCACAAAAGAATAAGGATAAGGGTAATTGTTATTTTGATTATTTAGGTATTTCGAGGACCGAAGACCAGCTGCAAATATTGATCCATATTTGGTTTCAGCAGCCTTAGTTGATGTTACTTGCCTGAATGGACAGCATTTAAAAGAGTTAATTTAAATATTTGAAAACTCAATTAAACCTTTGGGATAATCATGATTTTAAATTATGAATAAATATAATATTTTGTTTAATATTGCAATGAAAATAGAAAATTTTATGATCAATAAAATCCTCGTGTTACTACATTAAAGTTGAAAAACCTAAAAGTAATTTATATACCATTTATTGTCTTATCTATTTTAATTAGTTTGTTTCAATGTTATTCATTTAAATTGATAATTTAACAACTTCCCAGATTTTGATTTTTGATGTATTTTAAATGGTTTATTTTAAATTCTCTTCTTTGTTTCTTAGAGTTTGAATACTTTCAGAGACTTTTTATCTTTTTTTCATAATTATTATTAATAACTCAATTATTCAATTCATGATTAAAATTAAAGTTTTTATTTGGCAAGATGAAGTTGAATCTTAATTGAAGTTCCTTTTATTTAATGTATTTTTAATTGGATCATATTTTTCTTTTGCTAATTTAAATTGTAGTACCATTTTACAGAGATTCTTAGCTAAACTTATCAGATTTTGTTAATTTTAAGTTATTTGATCTTAACTTAAATTTATTAGAGAGTCATTGTTTAGATAATTAGGTTTGTTTCTTCTGTTGAATATGTGAATTCCTGTATGATATATTAGTCTCCAATACTTGATAAGTAACAAATATTTCTTGTTAATAGAATGTCTAAAATGAGCAAATCAATAAAAAATAGGTATTAATATATATTTTAAACGGTTTTAATTATATCAATTTTTGTATAGTGAAAGGAAGTAGTCGGCTGAGTCAAACACTTTCTTTTATTTCTTTGTCAAGGGAGCTTTAAATTATAAATCTGAAGCTGCATATTTAGTCAACAACAACTCTTCCTACTTTTATTCTATTGTTAGATCTTTTTTCTGTTGTTATTACATAAAATAATCGGCACTATCAAAGACTTTCTAATAATTAGATGATAATTTTTCATACTTTTTTTTTATAATTATTTTATTGCTTTTCTGCTAAAGTTGTCACCTAAGGACTTTTCTCCTCCATATCAAGAGATTGTTGAGTAATCAAAGCAATCATTTGTTCCTCCAATTACTACTATTCTAATGACAATAAATCATTTAAATAGTCTTAACTTCCAATATAGCAAAATCGCTATCATAATAATATATTCATACAGGGTTGTAGGTCTGATTAAAAGCCAATTCAGGTCCTAAGCTTTCTAATCGAAATCTAGATGGTTTAAATTGAGGATTAATCACGCTCATTATTAAATTAAATTATTTATATCATTTTTAAAGAAATTACCCTATATTAATGGTTTATAATCACTTTATTATTATCACATTATGACTTTAAGTTATTTTGTTTTTATATAGAATGTTATTAAATTAATAAATTATTAAATATGCTAAGAAGAAGAAGAATAAATTTACTAAGAATAGCTTGAAGGATTAAAATATTGTAATTGTATTTTATTATTAAAATTTAGTCAATCATCTCAGTAAATTTTAATCTGGAAATAGAAAAGATAAATTATACTAAATTTATAATAACATCATTTATTTATATGATTATATGAACAAAATTTATAAAACCTTAATAAGAAATTTAATCAAAAATATTATTACATATCTTATATAATTTATCATTTAGAGTGAGCATTACTTATACTTTGTAATTAGATAAAGCAAAAATTAATTCGTTTATAATAAAATTTAAAATTCAAAAATTTATAAAATGTTTTAACCAAAATCAATGAAATTCACTCCTCACAATTCCATTGTAGGAAATGAAAATATAAACACATTAAACAAATCAAAAGCTAATAAAAATATGTGTTGCATGAATCATCCTTAAAAATCCGCAAAATATTGCATGGCAAAAGATCTTTCAGTGTCATTGTGTTCGAAATGTGCTATAAATATGGCAGGTAAAGGATTTATAGTTGAGGAAATTAATGGATTTGAGGAACGATAGCGAAGAGATGTAATTGATAAGTTTCTAAACTTGGTTAATAGAAACCTTAATTAATATGATAAAGCATTGTCTGGTTTATTAACTAAAAAATAAGACATTACAAAATACTTTGAATAATAGGTAGATAAAGTAATTAGATTTCATTAATTGGTTACCTAATAGTTATCAGAAGAGAAAGACAAATTAATTCAACAATTAACATAAAATTTCAAATAGACATCCTTGACATATGAAGAAACTATAAAATCACTCTAAAATTAAAAGTAAGAAAGTATTGGCATGAAAAATGATGTACAATAAAATTTAGATCGTATTGTCAAATAAATTGCATAAGAACCATTTAATGAAATAATGAATTGCTATCATAAAACAGTAGAGAAATATATGTCTGATATTGAGGATCTATAAAGAAAACCAATTGAAGTCATTAAAATAATATTGAATGAACCTTACAAAATAGATGAATTTGTTACTGTAGGTTTACAAAAAACATCTTTAATAAAGAAAAATTTGTCTGATATTGGATTGAGAACTATTACAAATGAAGATGTCTATGAAAGCATTGCTAAAAGAGACTCTGTTAATAATTAAAAAACTTCAAAAACATTATCATCATTACCTCGAACTCCAAAAACAGAAAGTTCTCCTTTTAAATCAGTTCCTATAACAAATATTGATCTTTATCATACACCAGATTAACAACAGATAAAAACACTGAAAACATAAACAAGTCTCTAATAAGCAAAAATGTAATTAGCTTAAGTATAAGAAAATATTGAATAACATTATGAAGAAGGTCATTCTTAAATGATAGAAAGAGACGATGTTGAAAATTCATATTAAATGATGATTGCAGAGTCAGTATCAGATAGCGAAGATTTTATAGATCAATTGAACTTAATATAATCACTTACTGTGGGCTAAAATGGTCATATAAATACACTTAAAATGTATAGCTCACCTCAATTCAAGAACCGATGATTTCATAATATTAGTATATCGTAGTTTATTAAACATCTTTCTCATTAAACTAATTCAGAAGTTTAAATTTTCTTATATTATCTTATCATCAAAAATAAATTTATGTTATTTTAATTTAAATAAAATAAATGTTACTAAAAACAACTAGTAGGTCTTCATTATAAATTTCTCATGATTCTTTTCTATCAGAATTAGAAGTTGATAGAATTATTAGCTCTTGCAATGTAACTTTAGCAAAGGTGACTTCAGAACAGGATGAAATCAAAGTTCAAATTTAGGATTACAAATCAATTTAGATTGCTAACAAAAATCAAATATACAATAAGAAAAACAATTAAAAGTACTTAAATCAAATCTAGAAGAAAAAGAATATATTAAAAATATTAAACATGATATTCTCAAAAAATTAGGTTGATTGAAAATAATATAGATAATCTTGACAAGTATTTGGAAGAAATTAAAAAAAAATTACATTGGAAATAGAATTGTCTCCAATAATGTGGAAATGCATAAGATGTGGATTCGCTTAAAAAGAAGATTAAAATAAGGCAAGTTGTACTTATCATCCTGGAAATTGAAAATACTTTTCTTTTAGATTATGCGGTTAAGACAAATATTTCACTTGTTGTAATAGATGTAGAGATTTTCTTTATGGTTGTAATAAAGGTTTACATAAACCTTGAACTCTATCTATATAATTATCTATTTTATAAACTTAATGATTTACAAAACTAATTCTAATTAATTTAGGATAAATTTATGATCAAATTTTGAATAGAAATTTTAGGTAAAGCGTCTGCTTATAAGGTACTTAACGGAGAGAAAGAATTTTATGGATATTGCTGTATTAAGATGTCTAATATTATAAGAAACTCAAAGGATAATTAAAACTATGTAAAAATTATACATAATAATCACTGAAAGTTTAAAATTATTAGATAGTTCATATAAACAATTAAGAGATGAAAAAAGAGAAATGAACGATAAAAACAACAGGTTAAGAAATCAGTTAAGATACTTCAAATAAAAATAACATAATAAATCAATAAACAAAAATTAATGCGAAAAGGAAATCTTAATAAAGAGAATAAAATCTTCTAAAAGTTTATATCAATATAGAATATTCAAGCAGAAGACTGCAGAAGTAAAAAAAATAGGAATAATCAGTAATTATTATTGAGAAAGGAAATATAAATTTAGAAAAATAATACTTGAATCTAAAATAAAAAATTTTGATGAGAAAAGCAAAAATTAATTGAACTTGAAGATGAATCAAAATTATTACTTGAATTATAAAAAATCTTCTTTGTCTACAACTACTAAAAAAATAAATAAAAGTATGAATAGATTATAAGAATGAATAGAAATAAAAAATATTTATTAAAATTTCATATTTTATATAAAAAATTATGGGTGTACAGAGTACGAAACAAGCTCATATTCATCATTTGCAAATGTAGGAAGAGAAATATGTGTAAGAAGGAGAAAAAGAAAACATGGAAATAGAATAAATGGATTAAATTAGTGTTGAAAATTAAAAGTATGAATATGTTTCAAAGTATTAGGTTCCCATTCTGTATAGTTTGGACTAGCATACCAGTTTTAACGTGGATTATTCCTTGTATAGGACATACTGGAATTTGTACATCAGAAGGGACTATCCATGACTTTGGAGGGCCTTATTATATTGCCATAGATAATTTTACTTTTGGAAAACCATTAAAATATCTTAAATTAAATAAAGATTTTTAAGTGCCAAGATAAAGTTGGGACGATGCAGTTTTAAAAGCAGATGATGAATATAGCTAATAGATGGTAATTAGTTTGAAAAACAATAGCATAATTTATTTACAAATAATTGTCACAGTCATGTTGCAAAGGCTTTAAATAATATGAAATATGAAGGGAAAAAAAATTATTCAATGTTTCATATTTGGTTAATGCTACTTTTAAGTGGATAATATGTTAGGTATTTATTCATATAAGTTGATAAGTATTGGAAAATTTGTTAATACATTTTTACCATCCGCAATATTTTATGGCATAATCTTACTAGTTGTGTTCTCAAATTAATGATTATTATTAGGATATTAAATATTAATTATTTCCAATTTTCAAATATAAAACAAACATTTAATAAATTAGTAAGATGTTTTATTTCAGATCCTACTTAGTAAATACTAAATTGTAATCTTAATAATTTTTGAAAAATAATGAAAATTTTATAGGTTATGTAATCAATAAATTAATCTAATTTTATTTAAAACCAAAATAAAAAGATTATAGATGAATTAAAGTAGTGGATTGCTTAATTATGTCATAAAAGAATTGAGTAATTTTTCAATAATTCAGAATTAAAAGACTTACTTAGAATATAGTTTTTTGAGCAATATTCATATGAACTAATAGGTATTATTAAAATGTTTGCTTCATAAAAAATCTATTCTAATTACTGTTAATTTTATTTGCAAATAGCCTTTATGGACGATTAAAGATAATAATTGTTATTTAGAGAATAAGAGGAATTTATTTAATTTCATAGATAGGGAAGCATAGATAATCAAATCAACTAGTAGAATTAAAAAAAAATTATTATTTTAGCATTCCTCACTAATATCAAAAGAATTATAACACATATAACATTTCTCCTAATTCCACATATTAAGCATTCAAATTAAATTAATGCTCTTAATTTAATATAAAATAAGAAGGAAGTAATTGAATGATAAAAAATTTATAATAAATCAAGCAATCTTTACTTTTACTTTGATTAACTTATTCAATTATACAGTTAAAAATAACTGAAAAACATTATCTATTAGTAATTTCAGAAAAATAGAAGCTTAATATTATTACAATCAGAATAATATATAAATTAAAAAATCTTCTATTTTCTATATCTAATTAATAATAAAATTGAGTATTGCGAGGATTTCAGATAAATTATCAAAAAATTTAGCTTTCTGAAAGAAATTTAACAGAAATAAATTATATAATATTTTCTGAGAATAGAATTAAGTTTAGGTGAAAGAATACAAAAATTAAATAATATTCTTATTTTAAATGAATGTTACTCCACTATGATATAAGCAAATCAATAATAATACAGTAATTTTTCGACTAGAAGTTATTGGATATCCATTCTTTATTTAAATTATGATATTTTATTTTTTTGTAATATAAATTTACCTTAGATATCTTTTTAAAACATTCAAATTTATAAACATGATGATCAATTTCTAAAATTTGTATTTTAGTAATTCAAAATAACTTAGGTATTAGGATTAAGAAAGATCTCAGAGTTATCAAAAGATAAATGATAAAGAAATAAAAGTTGATTTATTATTATATTAAAAACTCAGCATATGAAAGATAAAGATTTCTATTATCCTATATTTTGTTATCACCTCATTAAGGATTAATGGATTATTGAGGAATAAAAAAAATAAGATTATAAATATATTTCTATAAATAATCATCAAATAGTTAGAGTAGAATAGCTTTATTATTGTAAATTTCTGAGCAATAGTTTCTTGACTGTAATTGGGCAATCCTTTTTATCGAATTCAATTACAAGCACATCTTATTTAAAAGTGACAATTTTAACTTTGTTATTTTCCTATTCTATCAAAGAAAAATCAGTTATGAATGAATGTTCATCACCTAGTTGACTTTTAGGTTAGCTAAATTTCAGTCCCTTTGGCATATTTATTAATAATGATCAAAATATTTTTCTAATTAATTCTCGGAATGAGATTATAATAATATCTTTCATATAAAATTATATATATATATTGTTTATTAAATAAGCATCACTTTATAATATTTAATCCAAATATAATTGCATATTTAAAAATAAATAATACATAAAGTTCAATTACCTTTACTCTATCCTAAGATGTTAATGTAAATCCTTTAACTAATAGAGCAAATGTAAAACTATAAAACATAGATATGCAAAAGGTTCTTTAAAAATCATTATGATCCATTCCGATTATTCTAATAAACCAAAATTTTGAATACAAAGATATTTTGCAAATTGATATTTAAAGAAGGTTTAAGTGAATTATAGTTTTTTTTTAATTTTAGCAACTTTTAAATTATAATTGGCAAATTAATTTTTTTTTAAAACTTAAAAAGATCAAAGTAATTATAATGTGATTTTTGTGCCCGATGATATTTCGAATGCCTACCAATTAAACTGTTGCATCCATAAAGTAAAATAAAATCAAGAATAGCCAGAACACTAACTTTTTTGACACAGCTTTAAGTAATAAGTGCTATATTAGATTAATGAATATAACAATAAAACCTTATTTTAAGAGTTTTTTCGCAGTTCAAGCTTTGATTATCTTTAATTCATCTATTCATCAAGATTCTAAGATGATGAATTTTATAAATCCTAATTATTCGCTTAATGTACATATAATTGGATTTGAATTATCTTCTTAGTTATTGTCTTGCTAATCATTTTTTTATTGCACTTTGTGACTATTCATCAAGTAAATATTAACTTTTTTTTTTAATGAAGATTAAAACTGAATTCTTATCGATTTTGAATTTAAGATTTAATTGTATTTATGATTGAAAAAATAATACTAGATCCATTTCTTTATCTGATTCTCATTTGCTATGGATGTATTCTAATATTTTATAAAAAAATTCCTTCAACTGTTTTGATAAACCGTCCCTGCATCTCTTAACTATTTAATAACTTAATATCTTCTTTTTTGTATTCCAAAAGCTAATCTGAATAAATTCATTGTTTTTCTATGTAAATTTAACTATCATATTATTTTTCTTTTATTTTTTATAATTTCCTGCTCAGACGATAAAGTTTTAGATGTAAAAAAACGCAACACCAAGAATGGTCCTATTTTTACCCGCTCAAATAAAGGCAGAATAGCTCAAAAGTAATCCAATGATATACTTAAAATAATCCCTTAGCGTGTGTCATGATGAGATTAGAAAATGTTATTAGAATTAATCCAAAAATAAAAATATACTATAGGCATCCCAATCCTATAATTAACAGAAAATCCAAAATCATTTTGCTTCTAGGAGTAGATTAAAAGCATAATATCAAAAATTTTATCTAGTAGTAAACTGGATTATATAGGTCCATAATATCCTTCATATGCTTTATCCCATAATTTTGACTATTTTGATATTTATTTACATACAATAAACCCATAAAATCTTCAGCTTAGAAAATAACCCTTTTCTTACTTTTTGTTTGTCAATTATAAATCTTCTTTTATGTGTAACATTGCGCTCTTCCACTATAATAATCAATTTTTTTCAAGTCATCAACGAAAAAAAATAAAATTTCAATATAAATCTACATAATTCCAAGAAATCAATTACAAATATTATTTTTACATAAATCAATAGTTTTTATTAGTTGATTGTAATAAGACTTTAACTTAGTTTGTATTATTAGGTTTGTCAATATCGATTGTAATTTGATATTCTTACTGAGGATGAGTATGAAGAGGAGGAATTTTAATTACAAATCCAAAATTTAAATTGAAAAAAGTAAAAAATGATTTACTTTCTTCTGTTCGAGATTCTTTAATTATATAAAAATAATCTTTGAATCGATTAAAATTTATGCTTCTAATAAATTGAATAAAAAATGCTAAAAAATGATTATTTTAAAACACTTTGAATAAAATTTTATTTTATAATATTGTTTAAAAGTAAAGTATTCTTACGAATAGCTGTATTTTAAGAGTGAAAATTGTTTGCAAAGTATCATTAATTTGATAAAATGAATATAATTAATGTTTGTTTTTTCATATATAAATTCATTGTCCCAATGCTTATAATTCATTTCCTTTTTATTCCAAAAAATCAGCTAAAAACTATAATGGATTTTCAGGATGTTTTTCGCATATATTTATTAACCCTTCTGTTAAGAAAGGAACTACATTATCCGCTAAATATTGCCTTAAAGGTTGACTTCTCTAATCTAAAAGTTCCCTTTCTTATTGTCTAATAAGATCTTATTTTTGTTCATCTGTTAACTTTTTATTATCCTTCGATAATCTACTTTCATTAATTGATTTCTAAATTAAATTAATTTTATTACATTTAGTTAATCACCTTTTTTTTTAGGTCCTACTTAGGATTATTAAACTTATGACTATTAAACAGCAGAAACTTTCTCTTGCTGAAGAGAAGAAACCTAATGGGAAGGTGTACAATCTTCTTATTATTCTTCCATCTAAACAACTTCCTCCTCTTTTACATCTTGTAATACTAAAATTGGTCCGTTTCTAGTAATATAATCCTTCGATTATTCCAAAGCTCTTTCTTGATCTGAAATTCGTTTAATGTCATACTACTCGTATTATTACAATAATTATTCATTATTCTTTCTGAAATTAGCTAATCTTTTGACTACTTATTCCTCTTAATATCTAGGATTATCAATTACTAATTTTGCTTTTTCTTTTAATTAGTCATCAGGATATTCTAAATATATTACACCTTTTGGTTTAATCGATTCAAGTAGTTAGCCTTCCTCATTTAAGAATAACTTTTCATATTATTCTAGTGTTTTAGGAAAACCATCTAAAACATAACCTAAATTTTAGGCATCATTTTAATCCAATCTCCACCGATAAATTTATATTAAGACAGAGTCAGGAAGTCTTGGCTAAATACCTGATGGATCAAATACTGGTTCTGGTTGACCTTTTGGAACTTTTTTCTTCTTCTTCTCTGCTTCAAATATTGCTAATGCCTCTGCAACTAGTTATTCTTTAACTTATGTTAAAGTAGTCCTTACTAATTCTCCTAATTCTGATTATTGTTCGAGTAATTCTTAAATTAAGGGCTTGATTTATATGTGAGGAATTCTATAAAAGCTGGCTAATTATTTACAAAGATATGATTTTCCTGAAGCAGTTCCTCCATGAACGATTAATTTAACAGTATCTAAACCTCTGTATAATTTAAATTATTCTCTTATTTTTATAATGTTTTTTGCAAATCCTTCTTTGCATTACCAAAGAATTATTGGATTTTTTTTAGCATCAATATATTGATCATCAGATTCAAATACCTAAGTTGGTCTAAGCCAAACATTTAGGGTTAACATTTTTTCAGATGCTGTTGTCACATTCTTTGTAAAGCCATTGCCAACAGATTTAGCAATAGTTGTAACTAGCTTTTTTTGAGTCATGTTTTCATAATCAACGGCAAATATATATCTCTCATTTGGTGTTAATGTCACAGTCTTATTCACAATGTTGGCTAAATCATTAACATGAATCATAGGTATAATATTATTTCCATCTCCATAAATCGGTAACTCTGCATCAGGGGTCATCCATGCAGTTTTAAATAAATCATATAATATATCTTCTCCATTGCCGTACACTAATCCTGGAGTTATTACATATGCATGCAATTATGGTTTATCACAAACGATTATTTATTGCTCTAAATGCTTTAATCTTTCTAAGAAGTGTATTTTTCTAATAGGCAGATCATTTTCTATAAATTTCTCATGCTTTTTCAAAAAAGGTTGATCTTCTGTATCCCCTCCCATAGATTGTCTCATAGCAGTTTCATCATTTTTTCTATCTTTTAATGGTGTAGTCGACCAAGTCATTGGATTACTTATTAAAATAAAAGTTTTAGTCTGCTGATATTACCCATGCTTTAACAGTTTGTAAGCATATTCTGCCCTGCAATAATTTTGATGAAAGATAACAATATCACAATCCAATAGTACTTATCCTAATTAGCTAGAATCTTCAGCATTAATTAATTTTGTTGCTCCCCTAGGTAGACTTTCCCCATTTCCTACTATTATATTTGGATTAAAATCATTTTCATTATCATTTCTAAATTCTTCTACTAATGCTGATCCAATTAATGAATTCATTTCTTCAATAAATATCCTATATTGTTGCCAAGTTTGTTATTTTTCACCTGCTGATGTTCTCTCCATTGATCTAGTTTATAAGCTCATTTTTTCTTTAAATTATGATTATCGAAGTAATAAAAATAATTTGAATTCATAAATGAAATATAAACTAAAATCATCAAATGCTATCAATGTCTTCCTCTTTTATGTAATAAATATCTTTCATATGATGTATCAGCATCAGATTGTAATTATTATTTTGTTGGCTGACTAACAGGATTTGGATTTTATAATGACTGTTATGAAATTTAAATCTATTATTATTGTATTGGGTATGATTATTATTATTACTGATTTGAACCTTAAGGAATTTATTATTGTTATTGTTAATTTGAGTATTAATATTAAGGAGGATAAGCCTATGCTACAGACGATGGATTATTTAGAAGATTTTATGCATTTATCAAATTTGATTTATTTTAGTCCACATTGAATTATAAATTATCTATTTTTGGAAAATTAATCTAAGTTTGTCGATACAACTATCATTAAATTATAATTTACACTTAATTATGATTCTTAATTCATCAATTAAGAAATAAGTTTTTCTACCATTTAGTTTGATTATATTAATTGAGTTTGGACAATTGTAAATTATCTGGTTTTCTCTAAACTACTGTTTCTTTTTTCTTATAATTGTCTTCTTAATTACTCTATTTCTATTTATTATTCTTAAACTACTCTCTTTAAATTTAAGATCTCATTTTTCTGTAAATCTAAATCAATTGTTTGTCTATGAATAATTTATTAAAGATCTAATAATTATTGCTACAAAATGGAGTTCTACTATATTAGTGATTTATTCTTAAATTATAAGTCCTTAATTTCTTAATTATTATTGCTTCCAGAATTTTAATTTGATTATGGAATTTATTGTAATTACTATTTATGATAATTATATGGTGATGATTGCTTATAATTAGTGGCTTTAGCAAAATTTGCAAAATCTTAATAGATAGAACTCTCTTCCATTTTCTCTTATGAATATTTCTAATCCTCTATCGAATCATGATTGGATTTATTGTATATTTTCTATTAAATTTGTGTATTTTATGCTTAAGATTCCTACTATTGGTATTGCATAAATTTTTAAAAAAGCTTATTCTTTTGGATCATCTAAACATCAACATCGATTGGCAAATTAATCATCTGTTAAATAAATTAAAAAAAAATATAATATTTATAAATTCTAAATGTATAAATTTTTCAATTTCCACAATTTTAATGTTAATAATCAATTCTTGTTATCAAAGATACAGTTTTGTATTAAATAATTATCCTCTAGTTGCAAATCTATAATTTCATAATTAGTCCAGATAACATAATGTGTGTCTATTATCACAGTTAAAATTAAATTTACATCTACTCATCCTCAAAGCTAAAAATAACAATGAACTATTCTTTCCTCAACTAAATATTAGAAATCCTAAGCTTCTGTTTTCAGTCATTTATTTATTGCTCTTACAATCCATAAACTAATTCAAATAATCTAAATTTAATTCCTTATTTGTGAAATTTTGCATTAATTCTGATTATTTCAGTTACCAAATATCTTTTTTATTTCAACAATATTGATGAAAAGATTCACTAAATTTATCTCTTAAATTTGATTAACTTTTTGTGATTGAAAGGATTTAATTAGTTTATATTACTTTTACATACTTCCATTATCAATCTAAATTAACAAATTTATTGAAAGAAAACACCTCTTTTATAATTTAATGGCTGGAATACATAAAATATGATAATTTACTTATTCTTTCTTGCTTGCTTCTTTGAAATTTTAACCCTCTACAAAATTATGAATATCATTTTCTTCTTTTTAATCTGCTTCTGCTATTTTATCTACATTTTTCTTATATGATTAAAAAAAATTAAACCTTGTAAGTTTCTTTCATTAATTCTTAAAGCAGAGACATTTAGTTTGGTCCAATATGATTTAAAATTTCTGGCATTAATTCTGAAAACTTCTTTGTTTCTGGATTTCCAAATATTGCAAATGTATTGCTTCCAATAGCTGCTTGGACTTCTGGTTTTGAGAAATGAAGAATAGTTTTATCATTTTTCAAAAAATTTACTACATCAATATTCCCAAGTTGCTCTACTCTTGAAATTGATTTTAACTATCTCATTTTTCCTGTATCTGTTGATCTATGAGCAACTTTTTCTCCTCATTCGCTGTCCCTTGAGATTTAAGAAATTAGATATTAATTATGAATGCATCTGAAAGGGGTCTTTTAGTTCTACAATCAGGGAATACTATTCAAAAAATTCAATTTCTAGGTTCAGTCCAAAAAATAAAGAATATTAAAGGAAGATAGTAATGTTTATTGATTCAAATAATTTTCAACTAGAAACCAAAGAACTTTAACTTTGAAAGTATTTAAGAAAAATATTAATGGAATATAAAGATTATGTTATGAAATAATTACCAAATTATGATTAATTTGTTGATAAGTTATGGGCTTAATTTGTTTACGAGTGTAAAAATAATTTGGTGAGGTTCCACAAGTGGACAAAAATAAAAGAAAATTTTTTAATGTTTTTTTGGAAGCATTTTATTGGTTTATGAGGTTATCTTGTTAACTTTGATAAATTTTAATCAACCATATAGGAGAATATGATATTTCAATACCTATTACTATTTTATTTAATAATATAAATTTGAAATAAAAGCAAAATTGTGGGAAAATTTTATTCAAATTTAAAGTTAATAATGTTAAGCAAACCAAATAATTAGGATTCAAACTACTCAACAGTAGAAATTAAGCAAGGAATAAAAAGGAGTGTGAAAGAAATTTCTAACTATGCCGAAATCAAAGCAAGCAAAGAATAATTTAAGGCAACGAAAATCAAACAAAAATCTTACATAAGATTAAAGCAATAAAACAGAGTCTATGCATTTCCATGCTACAATGATAACATCATAACACATCAAAAAGGAGAGAATTAACTACTTCGACCAAGAGTAAATTATTATCAATTTATTTTAGAATTAAGATGATGATAATGAATCTGATGATGAAATTATATTTCAATCCTTGAGATTCTCATTAAATACATTAGTAGAAGCTTTGCAAAATGAAAATAAGAGAAATTACTCATTTGCACAGTTTATTTCAAATGATTTATTAAATTCTCTTAATGAATGAGATTATTCTTATTTGCTATAAATAAGTGATAATATCTAATATCATTTTTCTTTATGAATTTCATAGTTAATTAATTGTTAAACATATTCTATTTTAATCTTAGAAAATACAGAACTAATATTTTTAATTTTTTTTTTATAATTATTCAGAAATGATAATTATTAAAATTTTCTTCCTCCTTTTAGTACAAAGAACTTTTCATATAACTTGTTTTAATCAATTTTTATTTTCAATATTTTTAGATTCTTTATAGATTTAGAATTTGTTATTCATTTTATATTTTCTTAGATTTTTCTTCATTTTCTAGTATTTATTCATTTATAGATGACTTATTTTTTTTTTTATGTAATTTCATTCATTTATACACTTTTTCTAAACAACTAATTATCTTTTTATTTATTCATATTTTTTATTAGAATATTTCTTTGGGAACAATAAAATTTGTTTGATGTTGTATAAGTTTTAAATCTTAAAAATGACTAAATTGATTTAGTCATTTAAAATTAATAATTTAAGCCTTTAATGATTAATCTTCCTTTATTTTTTACAAATAGTTTTTTATTAATTCAAAGTTAGGAGTATTAAGATCATTCATAACATCACTCGTACTATAAAGAATTCATAAACAAAATGTGGGGACAATTTTACTCTATCCCCTAAGATTTTGGAGTTGCGAAAGGTGTTATAAGGTTTTATGAGGTTTCTAATGGTGTTACTCATGGTTATCGTGACTTGTGTTTAAGGGTTTTTTTGCTAGGTTGTGATGGTGTTAACACCAAAGTTTATGTTTGCTGCAGGGGTTTTACATATCCTATATTTCAACAGGAGCAGGGGTTCATAAGGGGCAGCCAAACCCCCTTTGCCACCAGAGGTAATGGAAAGAGAAAAACAGAGGATGAGGATTAATCTGAACCAGAAGATGCAGGAGGAGAAAAATGAGAAATAAAAATTATCTGATGAATATAAAAATAATTTTTAAGTAAAAACAATTGAAATTTTTAATTACCCAATAATATTTTTAAGCAACAGTAACATTAAATCATAATTTTAAAATTTCTATTCAGAAAGAATTAATAATTATTGATCAACCTATAAAAGTTATTGGAAAAAAAATTAAAAAATATTTGGATAATTGATGAATTATAATTTTAGTAATCATTAACATAAACTTACATGTAGGTGTATGAGTTCACTATAATTAATATCTTTGATTTTCTTCTTTTTATATTTAGTTTTTTTATAGATTTCTTATCCATTTAATCTAATATTTAAGGGGTATTAATCTCATTTTTGAAAATAAAATTATTTTCACACTATCCATCATTGTTTCTATTTTTCTTTTTCTTCAATTTACTCAATAGATTTGCTTTTGATAAAGGATGAGAGATTAGATAGGAGACTTTTTGTAATTTTTAGTTCACCTCACATGTATGGACAACGCTTTAATTTTATGTGGGTCTAATTCATAACATGTGATAGTTNTTTATAGATTTAGAATTTGTTATTCATTTTATATTTTCTTAGATTTTTCTTCATTTTCTAGTATTTATTCATTTATAGATGACTTATTTTTTTTTTTATGTAATTTCATTCATTTATACACTTTTTCTAAACAACTAATTATCTTTTTATTTATTCATATTTTTTATTAGAATATTTCTTTGGGAACAATAAAATTTGTTTGATGTTGTATAAGTTTTAAATCTTAAAAATGACTAAATTGATTTAGTCATTTAAAATTAATAATTTAAGCCTTTAATGATTAATCTTCCTTTATTTTTTACAAATAGTTTTTTATTAATTCAAAGTTAGGAGTATTAAGATCATTCATAACATCACTCGTACTATAAAGAATTCATAAACAAAATGTGGGGACAATTTTACTCTATCCCCTAAGATTTTGGAGTTGCGAAAGGTGTTATAAGGTTTTATGAGGTTTCTAATGGTGTTACTCATGGTTATCGTGACTTGTGTTTAAGGGTTTTTTTGCTAGGTTGTGATGGTGTTAACACCAAAGTTTATGTTTGCTGCAGGGGTTTTACATATCCTATATTTCAACAGGAGCAGGGGTTCATAAGGGGCAGCCAAACCCCCTTTGCCACCAGAGGTAATGGAAAGAGAAAAACAGAGGATGAGGATTAATCTGAACCAGAAGATGCAGGAGGAGAAAAATGAGAAATAAAAATTATCTGATGAATATAAAAATAATTTTTAAGTAAAAACAATTGAAATTTTTAATTACCCAATAATATTTTTAAGCAACAGTAACATTAAATCATAATTTTAAAATTTCTATTCAGAAAGAATTAATAATTATTGATCAACCTATAAAAGTTATTGGAAAAAAAATTAAAAAATATTTGGATAATTGATGAATTATAATTTTAGTAATCATTAACATAAACTTACATGTAGGTGTATGAGTTCACTATAATTAATATCTTTGATTTTCTTCTTTTTATATTTAGTTTTTTTATAGATTTCTTATCCATTTAATCTAATATTTAAGGGGTATTAATCTCATTTTTGAAAATAAAATTATTTTCACACTATCCATCATTGTTTCTATTTTTCTTTTTCTTCAATTTACTCAATAGATTTGCTTTTGATAAAGGATGAGAGATTAGATAGGAGACTTTTTGTAATTTTTAGTTCACCTCACATGTATGGACAACGCTTTAATTTTATGTGGGTCTAATTCATAACATGTGATAGTTAGGATGAAGGTGGAGCTTAGAAATAAATACTTTGAAAATTTTAAAATCGAAAATACTTCTTTAGTTGGAGCTAATTTAATTAAGTGTAATGCTAGTGGATCCTAATTTAATAATGTTAAATAAGTGGAATAAATTTGATTGGAACATTATTATTAAATTGTAAATGGAAGAATATTAAGATCCATGAGTTGAATAAATTGGATGGTCATAGTGGATATGTTATGTGAGTCTGTATTTCTCCTGATGGAAATACATAAGCTTCTGGTAGTATTCAGATTATAGATTTATAGGCATTTAGGTTTAAATGCAAGATATCCTTTGTTTAACACACTTTTGCAGTAAAAGAATATTATTTAAAATTTAGATAAATCTAATATTATGGATTACCCAGACTTCAATTTTCAAGGTTTAAGAGAGTTTTTTATAAAAAAGCGTTTCCTTTTAAGAGAATTATTGGAGTATTAGCCCTTAATTTAAATTTATTTTAATATACTTCTTGTGTCCAATATTTGTCGATAGAGTTCTATTTTTTAGTTTTTTCTTTTATAACAATCTTGAAGCATTACTAAAATGGAAATTAATTTAGCACATTTTTAAAATATTATGAAATAGAACTTTTAGTTGCATGAATGCAATAATATCTTAAATCTTTGTATACTGTTTTTTTGGTATTATTCTTATCATTACCAAGCATTTTCTCT